GGCAGAAAAGCATTTTATTACTCCCTTCTGATGAATGTACAAGCACCAAAACCCAAAGTCAAGCAATGAAACAAACAGTAAATTATTTTCAAACCTCCTACTTCTGTGTTGTTGTTTTTTCCAGCAGTTACTGCCATCAATCTTTTTAGCTTAGCAGCAACAGCTTCAAGAGAAATTTCCTTTTAAACTTTGCAATGTTTAAACTGAAAGAATTAACAGAAGAAATCACTTTTACCTAAACCAAATCCATGCAGTGCAAGGTCCCATGAAACTTGGTAAACTGAAATAAACTTTTCCTCCAAATGCCTTCTCTGAAATTCTTGAATGTTCGCCTATGGTTAAACTGGAATGCATTTGGAAAGGTTTGAATTGCAACACAGCTAAACCAAAAGACATTTTGGCTTCCTACAGAGGTAAAGAGGATAAAAAAGGGATTTTGGTGGACAATGCATTGTTATTGTGAATTATGCAGTGAGCTGAAATGACACTGGAATAGTCATCAAAGTTCCTAAGAACTGCTCTCTTCCAGATGAGCTAATAGAGCAGCTCTGTGCTCAGAGGTTAACTGAAATCAAATCTAAGAGTGCTGTGAAATACATTTGCTGTATTTGACTTTCAGAAGTTAGAGGTGATTCTGCTGACCCGACTGGCAGCAACAGCTCTGTTTCACACCACTATCTGCATGAAGATGGACACAAAGCTTTACATAAGACACATCTGATAAGCTTTCACCTTCACAAAGATATTTTAAGGAATCAAGAAGCATTTATCTGAAATCTATAAAATCATTCACTGAATTTTCAAATATCATCAGTTGGAAGGAGTCACTGAGCAGCAGTATTTCAAAAACAGGCTTAGAGGATATGTGACTGTAAAAGCAGCCAGTCCTGGGATTAAGGACCTCGGAAGTCCTTCCCAGCCTGATGGAATGAAAGGAAGACCCTAGAATTGAAGTGGCTTACTGCTGTAAAGAATGAACATCATTTCATTTTTGCTATAATATGACTGTGTGTCATTTTTAGGACCCATAAATTTTTCAGGTACAGTGCTAATATTAATTATTGATTGGGTACAGAAGTGCCAACTCTCATTGGGCACAACTATACATGTCAAACTGTGAAATAATAATAGATGTGTGTTCTTTGAAATGAGTTGGTATGCAGCAGAGGGCTTTATTTTCCATTATCAATAACTGATTTATAATTTGAAAGAATTGTTCTTACTGTATTTTTTGAGAGGAAAAAGAAATTTTCTACCTTAAGGCTACATTTTTTTCATTCAGTAAAAGACCACAGAGACGTAACACGATGAAGTCTGCACAGCCTGTGGCTCTGTTACAGTTCTGTTGTGTCTTTTTCCAAAGACCAAGCCTTACCCAGAATTGTGCATCTTCCACATTGCTAGAATAGCCCACACCATGTGGCAGGCCTTGGCTGTGCTGGTGTTGTGGGCAGTAGAAGTGCAAGCAGAAACATGAACATGAGCTACAAAACCAGGAAGTGCACGACCTGCACTGCCCTTGACAGCTCTGGATCTAAGACCATGGTCCACTGAACCTCAAAGACTCCAGTTAATGCAATGGGGAGCTGGGGCTGATTTCAAGAGCACAAGAGTCTAAGTTAGTGTCGGTATTCAAGTATAACTCTAGCCCATGAACCTCAATAACAAAAGTCTCATTGATTTCAATTAAAGGAGGCTTGGGTCTATTTACTGTAACAGTCAATTCTTGGAAAAATAATTAATTCCTTGTCATGCCTCACGTGTATTGATTTTTGTAATTACAATGAAATTGGAGGCAAGGGTGGGAGGAAGGAAACACACCTGATTTATGTTTAATGCGATCCACAAGCTGTCAAGGGCAAAAGTTGAGATGCATACTCATCCTCAACACACTGTTGTGCTTAGGTAGTGAGTGGCAAGCATACTGTAAAGAAGAATCTAAAATCACACACTGACATGCACAATTCAGTACTGTGGTGTAAAGAGCTTTTTCTATGGCACTTCCATAGCACATAGAAGAGATGACCAAGGGGAAGAAGATATGGACAGAACAAGCTTAATGTGTATTAATGGCTGAGAAAAGAAGACAAAGAATTAGAACAGAGCAGAAAAAAAATACAAGCTGTTGCTGATGATAAAATAGCAAGTAGATAATGTATACATAAAGAAAACAAGAGAAAAGAAAATGCATATGGCTTTACTTGGCAATGATGCTGTTAGGAAAAAGACAGCATGAGACCATTTGAGCTTTGTTTCCACTGTGTGTTCACTACAATGGCACTCAAGTTAGATTTTTTTTAACTTATTTGACTTTCTAAGAGATGTTTCTCCTTTTGGTTATGCAAATGGTTACCTTGTTTCTACACACACAAAAAGAGATTTGATGACGTTATTCGTTATTCAATATTGACAACAACAAAATGGTGACAATACTCATAAAGATGCTCTAATTACTTACAAAGACACAGTAGGAGATTTAGGGCGCATTTGTCAGCGGCACCACTACTTGAAGAATTATTTTCATACTTTTGCCTAACATTACCCACTTTCCAATTCTTCCAAGGGAAAAAAAGCTATATTTTACATAATAGCCCAGCAGACCAAGGTTCAAAAACAGTCTCACACCTAAACATTAGAAAAAAATTACATATATGATGGAAAGGCAGAGTTTCAGAATGTGAATCAGTTCTGTGTTCAGTGCTTTCATCTAACAGCATAATATTTTAAAATTAAACAAAGAGTGCCTGCCTTCAGTGTGGGGAACTAATTTGCATCAAGTTTTGGCAGTTTCTTTAAGCTGTTGTGTTAAAAGTCAGCACTCTAAAGCAAGCTTTCCTCTGGTGACCTACACACACCATGACAAAGGAGGCTGCAAACTCATACTTAAAAAAAGAAAAAGAAATAAATTATCTTACTAGTATGGCAGTCTGTTGCCAACACTTTTTGAAATGAAACAATGTTCTTCCCGGCTTTGACAGAGTGCTGTGCACAAAGTCATAGCACAACAAACTGAGTCAGTAATAAATAACCACAGGACAGTGATTGATGATGGCCAATCTGTCTCCAATGGAATTATTGTAACAATACTAAAAATTCTTTCCCTCATATTTAACGTTTTGTTTAGGGGTTGTTGATACTGCCAGAAAACCCTTTTGACACAGCTAGCATAAACTGCAGTGGGTGTTTCGACACTGAAGCATCCGAGCCCAGCCCATTAAAAAAGCTGTCCCTAGCCAGGCTGCTGTATGCATAAAATACACTGGTGGTTCTCAGCTGGGAATGAGTTTGATCTATTCTATATTGCATGCCCTGTCACTAAGGAAGCTTATGAGGTGGAAACGGATATGAAATATGAACACGAAGAAAAAAATAACACCTTAATAAAATGAGTAATTATGTTTTGTCTAAATCCTCTTGTGCCAACAAACAGCATGTACCATCACAAATTCAGCAAAATTCTGCCTATTTACCATTAGGTGGGAAAGGAAAGAAAAAAAAAAGCAGCCAGGCTCTGTTAGGCACATTACAGTAGAGGATTTACTCTGGAGAACCTGAGAGCACTGACTGAGGAGTGCTGGTTGCTGCAGTGCTGTGACTGATGGCCAGATGCAGGGAAAGACAAGGGATCTGGAGCTGCTCTATGCCATGATCTAATGCTTGGCACATGGACAGCTGAGGAGTTTAATGCTACCAGTCCACCATAACCTTTCAAAATGCAACCCAAGTCCTAAGCAACACATTTTCAGTGCAGTGCATTTATGAGCGAATCAATAAATTCTAAAAACATCAAGTTAAAAAGATTGCACAGAGAAGTAACTGTGTTCAAGTATTTGTGAAGTACTACAACATTATTCTTTGAAATACATTCAGCATTTAAATTCCATTTTTCTTAGTTCACATGCCTGAGAAGCTCACGATCCTGTAACATCAAATACAAACCTGAATATTCTGCATGTTTTTTAGATCCAGATGCCCATAACATGATAAGTTCCAGGCAACTTACAAAAATCATTTTTTAAATGAGAGTAGGAAATCAGAAACACAAACATATTTATTTTTCTAAGTTACTGTAAATTTCTAGCTATGCAGACCTTAACCTAATTTGTTCTCTTGATAACTCACAGAAATGGCATGACAACACCAATTAGATGACACCCAATACTGAAATTCAAGTTGTAATACAAACATGTTAAACAATAGGACTGCAGACACAGACAAGAAATTAAAGTGAAGCCTAGAACACACACTTGAGCAAGTGGAGAAATAATGAAAGCAGAGATGACACAATGGCTTTGAAGAACCATACTTGGATATGAGCTCTGTTGAAAACTGGTCTCTGTGTGACAGTCTGGTTATAAAGTAACCTAATCTTCCTGCAGAAAAATCATGCACAAGAGAAGACTCCAAACCTTCTCCACTGAAGTCATTGGCAAAACTACCACCAACTTCACTAGGAGCAGGAGTCAGCCCACAACATTTTGGATCAGAAACAGTATTTCAGAAGAGTGCATCCAGATACCACAGCTGTACGAAATGAAATAGGGGAAATCCAGCAAACAATATAGAATATTATAAGCTAACCTATGAAAACTCTTACTGTTTTCCACAAAAATGCATCGATTATCATAATGATCTGAGGCAAGAATGCTAAAAAGATATCTCTTTTTCTTTTCAATGTAAACTGTGTTTTGTTTTTGTACTGCTAAAGTACATTAGAGGAAAGGGCACACTCTGCTGGTCAGAAGCACCAGTTACACCAAAAACTTTTTAATGATATCATGAGTACTAATAAATAAACCTGGCTTTATGACGCCTGACTTGTAGTGGTGCTCCTCACTAGGCTGCTATTTGATTCACCTTTTTTACATTCTGAGTATTAAAAGAAAATAGCCACAGTGTTATGTATGGATTTTCACGTGTTTAAATATAAACTTACATACTATATAGAATACTTTATTTCCTGAGGATCATTTTTTATAATATTGTTTAAAATTCTTTACCTTGGGCTTTTCATCCAGTATTTGCTGACGAATCTCCTTGTGTTTTTCTATCAGTTTCTCCTGTCTTTTACTCTGAGCATCCTCTAGCTATAAGAAAACAGCAGAGAATCATTTCAGATACTGCATACCCTTTTCTTCCCATCACTTCTCTAGCAGTAGTTCGTATTATTTTGCTTCAGCTTTTATCCCGTGAGCTGTGAGAGATGAATCCTGCTCCCAGAAGAAAAGTTCTAGAGCCCTAAATGAACACGCTGACAAATTCTGGGCCCTATCTAATACAGTGCTCAAATATATGCCTAATGCAATAGGAATTAAGCATACTTCACTCGCTAATTCTTTATGTTGTTTCCTGAATCAAAGCTTCTGTAAGCAAAAATGGGCCAGCTTTTGAATTTAACTCTCTCTGAAATAAAATTAAGAGAATATTCAATAGCAGCATAAGTTTCATAACAACTTCCCACATCAAGGCACTGCTGTTCGTACTGTCAGCCCAGTGTAAAGCACGTGTAGCTACAGAAATACTAACATCTGTAATGAAATTCTGCAACTTCGATTCACAGAGCTCTCAGAATGCTCTGCATATTTCAGTAACTGTACAAGTATATTTGAGCTTAAAATATACTCTACAATTAACTTTACATTCATGAAAAAGCAGGCCAATTAAAAAAGCCTCATAATTAAGACAGTTCTCAGTATCTGAAAGAAACCACGGAGTATATTTCCCATGAATAAACACCAGATCAAATAAAAGAACTACAACTTTATTAAAATATGTCCTCATTACTACCTCCTACCCTAAATACTAAAACGTACAAAGACATGTCTAAAATTATAGTTTTTCTTTGAGTGGAATGTCAATAGAAATCTACACCGCATCTGTTAAAAATCTGTACTAGTGGAGTGTTTACATAGAAGCTTGGAATTCGTAGTGTAAAATAGAACCTAAAACATGAAAGGTGACATTTTGCCCCAAAAATGAAAAATAAACATACAGCCTGACATACCCTTTTTATGTATTGCACCACCTCCTGGATATATGATCGAATCATTTCAGTCTTCTCTCTGGAAAAAGTAATCAAAAAGTTACATTAGTCCATAAGATCACATCAATACATTTTAATGCCGCCAGCTTCCTTCAAAATGAGTAAGGCAATGTTTTGAATGTATGGGTCTGTCCATTTAACATTTTGTCTTTTCCTTGCTGTGCTTTGTTTTGCAACAGGCTTCGATTTCCCCATGACATACTGCAGCAACACCACTGCTCTTTCCTGATAGCTTTTTTCCCATAGGGCAGTAGCATATCTTCAAGGTGATGGCAGCATTTGTTAAGGCCCAATTGTCAGCCTAGGGAAGTGCACGCAGATGCTCACTGCCACACTGTGACACTTTGTATAGCAGTGCAATAAACTGTCAGTGTGTAGATGCTACTGCTGATGAAAGACTTTGCCCTGTAAACTACAAAAAGCTGAACTTGAAAGAATTATTTAAAAGTGACTCAGTGAGACAGCTATTAGGTAACTTTTGGTAAAGACAAGATCCCTCAAAAGGATACATGCACATAAAATAACATTTTGTGGATATTTCATCAGATTCAGGACAGTGCTCTAAAACTTAATTGCTTAATAGTGAATTGCAATCTATTCTGGTGGCATTAAAATCTGATGGTTCAAGGTAGTTACACAACCCCTGGTCATGTGCAGAATTAGAAAAAATAATTAAGAACAATTAACACAATGTTTCCACTCTGTATTTTTTTTCCTTAAAATTTTCATAAGAATTTTAATGAAGCAACAGTCCAGCACGGGTGACTCAGCCAGGATTCACCAGAAGGTCTCACTACTCCCTGTCCAACTGCAAAAGTGAGGACAAATGGCGTCACTTGGCAGAGGAAAGCCAAGTTTCCCATGTTGCTCCCATCTTACCTCTCCCAAGGGCTCTCTGAAAAGCCTGGAGAATGAAAGTTCTTGGGACAGAGGAGGAAAAAATGAAAAGGCAAACAGAAATGAATTTTCACGCATCTGTTTCTGAGCCTTTCTCACCAGTGTCTCATTAACCTCTCATCTAGCAAATAATTTCCTATTGCAATCGATTTCACTGCTATAATATTTTTGTAACAACTAACCACATTTTTCTTACATGAACACATGCTATTTTATCAGCTCTAACCATATTATTTCTCCCTTTTTTTTTTTTTTCAAAATCAATTGTTCTCATTCTGTTATCTCATTTAGGGACATGGTTTTGTGGGGAAATATTGGTGGTAGGTGGATGGTTGGACTAGAGGATCTTGGAGGTCTTTTCCAAACTCGAAGATTCGGTAAAATTTTAACTCCTCTTAAGTGTCACTAAAATAAAGACTAGTAACAAAGAATATCCCAGCAAACAGGCAAGGATTAAAATGTCCCTTTTTTTGTGCAGCTTGCCAAAACAAATTAGTTAGGACAAACAAACCTAGATATCATGCCCTTGGGAAGAATATAACCAACTTGCATAATGTCTGGTGGTTCACAGAAACCACACCCTCAGAGCTCAGCTCTTTCACCGGAATTAACTGCCCACTGCAAAAACTGCCACTGGGGGAGAGTCAGTAGCACTGCATCTGAGGGGAATTTACCACAAAGAGAGCAAACCTTCCAGTGTATTACTGCTATTTCTCTTAGATAGCAGCTTTAAGATGGTTAAGAAGAAAAGATAAATTAAATATAAAATAAATTAAAATAAAAATTAAATAAAAGATAGTTAAAGTAAAATCAATCCCTTCGAGAACTGAGGTTGGTAGGTATTTATAATCATACTGAGAGGAAAAGTATTTGGATTAAAAGCATCTTGACTCCATCAAGCCACTCAAAGGCATGTCCCTGTACCACACATCAGCACTTCTGCAGCTCACACAGGCTCTCAATGTTGGTACAAGAGAAGATTAGATTTGTCCCAGGAAATTGAATTATCATCAGTGGAAGTAAGGTGGACTCCACTGCTTTGGTGAGGCACTGCAGTCTGACTAAAAGCTCGCTTGGATTTAGGCTTAAGACTTTTCTTTGACTTTTCCAGTTGTGAAAAATTTTGCATCCCCCCAAAATGTGTAAGGATATGAATGTAGGAATACACTTACTCTTCCATTTGATTTTTATCCTTGGATTTTGCTTCTGTGATCTTCTCCTGCCTCTTCTTGTCCATTTTTTTCTTCAATTCTTTCTTTTCTCTAAAGCATAAAAAATAAAATTAGTTTCAAAATGAATCTAAATGAAAACCATAAAGAGATGTCATCAATTATAAGGGGAATAGCACCTTACTTTTCACACGTTTCTTTCAGTTTCTTTAGCTGGCTGTTCTGACATTCCTCTGCTACATCAGTCAACTTCTGAATAAGCTAAAAAAAGAATTCCAACAAAGAGAAACACGCATTTTCAGCTAAACATCATATATGCATCTAAGTTTCCTCAAAAGTCTGTATTAAATCACATGAACCAGATGAATCAGGAAATACATAGTAATGTCTATCTGGTCTCATTCAGCTCTTCTTTCCTTAGATAAAAGAAGAAAGATACTGAGAACAGGCTCTGCTCTAAAATAAATCAGAAAGAATCTCTCATCTGCAAGGCAGATTTTATATGCAACAAATAATAATCCCAGCAGAGCTCTGAGGTAAAAACCATCTGAATACTGTGTGTTAAAAAATGAATTTATCATGATACTTCTTAACTGGATTATGTAGAAAATGGGACTTGGCTTTGGGAACTGCCATTTCCCATTTTGGAATGAGAAATTACTTAACTTACAGTATCAGCCCAATTATGTACGTTCAAAATGTTTTGTTGTTGTTGTTGTTGTTGTTGTTTTTAATAAAAAGTAAAATCTCTGTGATTCAGCCAACAATTATTACTTGAATGAGAACTCTTTCTCTGCAGCACAGGTAACCATTTCTATGCATCCACACTGGAGCTGCTCCTGCTGGGTAACATGGCTCACATGCAAATGATGATAAACAGAGCACCACTTGGGAGTGTCAGCTCTAAGCTATGATCCACGGGAATGGATTTGTGAGAAGGCCTTGCTGAGCAACTGCCAGGCATATCACTCCTATGACCTGCTTTTTGGATGGCAGGACAGAGCAGACAAATCACGCAACAGCAAAGAGGCAAAACATTGTATATTAAAAAAAAAGTGTGAGATAGGATTGTCCGGAGCTGAGAAACAGTTTATGCTCTCACAACACTCTTTAAAAATGTTCTCTTTTGCCTGAGAACATCCATCAGCATTAGCTGCCATCTGTCCAGGCTCTTCTATAGCAGTGAGAGGGCTATGATCTTGCTGTAGTTGTCAGCCAAACTCCAGCTGTAAAAACACAAGCCAGCTGAGACTGATGCATGAAAACGATTTTTTCACCATATACAGATTATGTCCTGTATCCCCTCGAAGCATTCATCTGCAGTAGGAACGCTCCTTGGCATAACTCTGTGCCCTGGAGAACATTTGAAACTATTTTCATTTATTTATTTTATGGTGTTTCTATTTATTTTCCAGCTAATCCTGCCTTCTTCAGTGTTGTATACCGAAGAAAAAAAAGTGGCAGAACAAAATGAGAACATCATCCAAAAGCTGCAATAAATTGAGGCTTATGTAACTAGAGGTAAGCACTCAGTTCCACGGTAGTAATAATAAACCTGTTGCCTTTCTGCTTTTTATCCAAGGCTGTCCAAGTACATTAGAGGTGTTGGTGACAAAGTGACACAACAACTCCTTGGAGTTGCAGTGGATCACAAGGAAATCAAGCTCTGAAATGGACTCCAAGCAAGAGTAAGCCACACTCCATTCTTACATCACAGTGGTTTCATTACTAACCCAGAGACCACTAAAGAAAAGCAGAGGCTGTAACAAACGTACCAGCTTAATGTGCTCCCGCTTCTGGTACTTTTCACTGTAATACTGCTCCTGTCGGAGGTTTAGCAGCTGCTGCTGTTGCTTTTCCTTCAGCTCGACTAGCTTCTGGGTCATTTCAGAGTCAAGGGCAGCCAATTCTTGCTCGATAGTTGATGAACCATGGTCTGGACTGCCCGTTTCAGACCTACGAAGACACACATACACACTGGCTTTAAGCCACTATGCCTGTTCTGCCCCACATCTAAAACTTGTTTTTCACCTGGTAACATGTAGTTCATGAATAAGTTTCTGGGCATCACATGCAGAGCAAGATGATGATTTTAGTTGTGGTAAATCCACTAATTTAATCTTTTAGGAAAAAACAGTGTTGTTACTAATGGGATTTGTATTGCTTTTAAACCTTGTATTACAAACCTGCCATGGTGGGGTGAATCAGGCTTAGTATAAATGAGCTATAAATACAACTGCCAAGATTTCCCATATAAACATTTGCCCACAGAACTTGTTTACTCACTTCCAGGCACCTAACTTGAATTTCAAAGGTTCACGGTCCTCAGTAAAAAATAGTGAATGTTAAGTATTTTGAAGACAGTCATCCTTGCATATGCTTAGCAATAAATTTAAAAGCATAATTTACATCTGCATTTACAAAAAAGCTTAAAATGGTTAGGAGCATTCCTTTATTTAGTATTTTCTCCCCCCTTCAGGAAATGCCATGCATAGCACACACAGAAGAAAGTACTCTATGGACTCCTGACTTCAGAAGGAAACTTAACATCCCAGTGGGGAATAAACCTCAGAAAGGCAACACACAGGAGCGAAGAAAAAACATAAGGGAAAAGCTAAAAAGCAAACACTAAGAACTAGGCTGTTGTTTTTTTTCTCAAGGCAGAAGTATAGATGTAATGGTGAAAGGAGACATGATGACACTAAATTGCTCAGGGCAAAAATAAACAGCAGAAACAGTATCGTTCTCAGGCCAGCAGTAAACTAAACCCAAGGAAAACACTCTTAAAAAAATATGATGATGTTGTGTCTCTGCTTGGCTGCTGCGTTTACTGCTGTCCTCAGGTGTTAAATCAGTTGCCTGGGAAACCTCAGGAACAGTGCATGAGATGGACAAAACAGCTGAACTTTGAACAGAGAGGGCTGACTGAGAAAAATGAGTTTGCTGCTCAGACATTTGCAAGATTACAATGCAGAAACTTGCTGCGCCGGCTGCTTGTCTCCTCTTCCAGGTTCAAGTTTGCAGTTACTGTCACTTAGCCTAACTTCAACTGAAACAATGTGAAGCTGCTTCCATCAATCTGAAGATACAGACCAAGGTAGCCTATTTCTATTTCTTGTATTGTTATTTGAATATTCTACTAAGAGATTAAGAGTTATCAGTGTGGTAGGTGAGGATAATTCACACACAGATGCAGAAGACAACACAGATGAATGTTAATCAGCAAATAATGCTGTTGTTGTTTTCAAGTTGACATTTCTCTTGTATTTTTGGGAAAAAGAAATGGGGCTAGTCTCTAAATGCTGGCTATAATACTGTCTTTTAAGGGACATAATTATGAAATAGAAACTTCGGAACTGCACCAGCATAGTACTCATATCTGTGTTCAGTAAATAGTTCAACTGTCCCACAGACATTGGCTTTACTGAATCTAGGCCCAATTTTAGGCGTGGGCATGAAGAACTGACTGCTTCTGATCAGAGGCAACATATTTGTATAGAAATCTGGCACAGGAGTTCCTAAGAAGTAGTGCTTTGTACTTTGCAGTAGAAGGTAAACAGCTAGAGTTATGATTTAAAACAGTAAAAACTACCTTATTCCTTGGGAGACAGTATTCTATAAAAAGTCTTCTGCTTGGGACAATATATACTTGCAAATCTGAAAAGCCTTCAATACACACTCCTGCTCTTTAAAAATTCAACATCAGATTTTTTAAACTTCAGATATTTCTGTATCTGCACATAAAACTACACATCTCTGAAATTACTATGACAGCTCCACATAGCAGACTGCAGTACTTCACTGCCTGATACCATGAATGATTTATGATCAAATCATAACAAAATAAAAAAAAAAAAAATCCTTTCTAGTCAAAGACAGATGAGTCATTCTATTTATTCAGTTTGTTTTTCTGCATAAAGTTGAATAGAGTACACCAAAGAAAAAAAGCAACATGATATAATTTTGTCTGCCACTATCTGTCACACAAATTGATGATGGAAAATACAGCAAATAAATATCACTGTGTTTGCAGTTGGCAGCCAGTCTCTAAATGAGTGGCTCCTTCCTAGGGACAAGTTATGGACTGAATCATAGTCACTTACAATTAAGAGTACAGCAGCAGTAGCCAGAGCATATCTGCACATTTTTCTTCAACAGACCCTACCAAAAGCATCAAGTAATTTTTTTTTAATGCTTGTTCAATGTCTTTGTGCTTAAGAACTGCAGCTATTCCAATTCTATGCAAAAGTTATAGGGCTTTTTTTCTTTTAATTACTTTAAAAAATAGATTGTGTTACACTGAGAAATATGCACTCGTGAGAAAGAAAAATTTAGGATGGTATCCTTATCTGACTGCCATTCAGTTTTAGCAGTATTAGACACAGGTGGTACCTACACGTGCTTTTGTTTTGCCAGGAGCTAAGAATGATCTTTTGCAACACATAGTCCCTTATCATGTGAATAAGAGAAAAATTGTGGAAAGATTATTGAGTTCCAACATTTCAAACTGATAATACAAATATGACTCTCCTTTATTATCTAAGCAAATAATATCAATTGATATCAATACACCCAAAGAAACATGGCAATGAGAGACTGAGAAAGAGAGAGAGAACAGAAGGAGCTTGCATGCACTGGTAAAGCAAAGCAATCATTAAGATATTCCCAAATGGTCAGAATCAATCACCATTTAAACCACAAATGCTAGTAACTATTAAGTATTTCTTTTACCTAACTATAGGGCTGATCCCTTTTGTTGTAGCATAATTTTTTTTCCAAGGTTCTAATGTGGAGACAATGCTCGCCATTCAGAACTTCAGAATACACTTGGATCTTGCTCCACCACCTGGCAGCACACTGTGCTTGCCTGAAGAAAATGTGTTGCTCAGTATCAGCAAAATTGTGTGCTGACTGCAAAACTTTCTCCTTGCTGGAAAGAAAGAGCTACTTTATAAAGCTACATTATAAAGTGTGGAGCAGAAGTTTCAGTATTGATGCTGATTTCAATCAGTACTGAACTGATATTCCTCCTAAAGCAGGTCAGGATGGGAGATGATGGGGTGCTGTGATAAAACATGCCACAGTTGATCTGATTAGGAACATAAAATACATTATCCAGTTAGATTTCAGTTCTTTCACACTGTGTTATGATTCCTGAACTATACCAGTATGTAGGGGAAGATCAATGTCACCATCTGTGATTAAATTCACCACCTAGCTACTGGCTGCTGTTGCCAGTAGAGCTGAATCACCTTACCCATAGCAGAGATCTAAGAAAAGTCCCAAGATAAATATTGTATGATCCTGTTTACAGGAAAAGAGTTTTAAAATTGTGAACAACTTATCTGACTTTTGCCAGAGAAGCAGGACATCAGAGAGGGCTTTTTATCTGATGATTTTCATATCAAAGAATCTGACATCATTTTATCTACAAATCCTCTGACTTGATTTTATCTACAAATTCTCTGGCTTGATTTTTTCTATGCTTTTAGAGTCACCTCCATATTAATTATCTATCATAAAAGAGAGAAAACTGCATTTACCTTTTCTTGCTGTCTCTTTTTGCTGTTTTTTCTAAAACTGCTCTTCGCCGCAGATAGTCATTTTGGATTTCATTATACTTTGCAGTGTGCTCTTTGATAAGATCAGTGGTTTTCTTGTGGTGCCTCTTAACAAGGTCCTTCATTTCTTTGTAGTGCTTCTTCTGAAGCTTAACAAATGACTTCTGTTGTTTTAGCTCTTCAATAGTCTGTGCTTCCACTTCTACAATGACAATAACAGAAGCAACTTCAATTTTCTAATAACATTTGATTTTAATCAGAGAACACCATCAGCTGAAATGAAACAAAGAATGTTTGTATTACTCCTGGCAAGTGAAATGTGCTAGCTGAAACTAACCAAGCAGAATTCTCTGAAAAGAAGCTAACCTGATTGAAAATACTTAGGCAAATTCAATTAAGAGTAGGAAGCGAGTTGAAAGCCTAAAGTACCAACATGACTAGCAAAATAAAAACCATGTGCTTTCTTCCCTCATCCCCTTCAGATGCAAAAGATTCCCATCAGCCTGACATGTAATTATACCATCTCACACAAATATGATCACTATCCTTTTTTGTAGGAACTGCACCAACACCTCAGGACTGCCTTCTCTCTGGATGGGTCACACAGCACAATAAATTCCCTTCATAAACTGCACTTCTGCCTGCCCTTCTACCTTGACCTGAGCACTGGCTTTGGGCATCTGTCCTCATATCATCATGAAATTCTAGGAGTGATTTCACTTCTGTCATGATGGCCAGTTGTCTGCCAATCCAGCAAAGGTCATTAGGCAGATGCAATCCAGGGCTGTCACTGTCCTGCTTTGTGAACCCAGATCACAGCTCAAGTTCAGTGTCTGCTATCACAACCTGCACATGCTCACTCCAAATCAGCAATGAAAAAAAGTGAAGAAGGGGAAGAAGCCAGACTGAAGATTCCTTTCTAGATTTCACAAAAGATCAAGTGTAAGAAAACATAGGAAAAATAATTAAAGAAAAAAAAAAAAAAAGAGGAGATCTGCAATCTAGAATCTGTTTCCAAGCTGAAGGAGATGACTCCCAGTTGCAAAGCATGGTCATTCTGCGTCATTTAACAGGGTAATTTCAATGTTGTAGGAGTGATGGGACCATTGCAAGTCTAGTGGAGATAAAATGGGTTCACTACTATTGACAATATTCAGTGCAAAGTTAGCCTCTCTTCAGATAATACTGCTACTTTGGTTTTCTGGGGGGGCCTACGAGAATGCAACAATGGAATAATTCTCAGAAAACCAAACAGTGCAAGAAGCATGTGCTCAAACATTTAATAGCACCACAGCAGAGGAAGAAGACATGGTATGTACATTTTCTATGAGTTCTTGCAGTCACAACTATTCAAAGGAGTGTCTAAACCAGATGGCCCATTTCACAGAAAATATGTTTCTCTTGGTAAAAAGTGTATCATTTGTACAGTATAAGCTGTATATTTAATACCTGTGAGGACACTCTGAATAAGATCTTCTGTCTTTGCAGGTGCTTTCACCAAACCTAGAAGTAAAAGAGATGACTAATACCAACTTCTTTAAAACAACAGCCATTACTGTGTCATCTGAATGCATATTAAACTATGGTATGTGATATAGGACATATACTGATACAAGTATTTATTAATTATCTGAGAGAAGAAACACAGAGACCACTACCACACTTGTCTCATTTATGAGGAGGAAGCTACTGAACAAGGCTATGAAGCCTTCAGTCATTAAACTATAAACACTGTGGTTTAACTTCCATTTATTATAGGAAATAAATCAATACAGAATATATATCAGAAAAGCAGCTCTTAAACAGAAGATATTTCTATATTTGAAGAAGATTGGCACTAACAGCAGACTGGGAATTTGTCCTCAAAATTTATAAAAACAAAGCAAACAACATCGAACAAAGACCACCATGTTCTCTCCCCCCCCCTCCCCCCAAAAAAATAAGAAAACACCAAATAAAATTTTGTTCTTGAAATGTACATAAAAATCAATACCCAGATTTATTTTGAAAAGATGATTTTTAGTTTGTTTTGCTTGTTTGTTTTTTTACCTGGTGTTGGTTGGCTATGGACAACCTGAGTTGCTGGTTTCGGTGTAAGAGAGGCAGTGTGATTTACTCCATTTTCTGCTGGTGCTGGCCTAGGTTCACTGTTAGCTTCCGATGGTGCATCTCCATGGTCCACCTGAAAATACATGAGGATTTACAGTACTCTTTCCAACTAACAGCCTTAAAAATCTCCAGATCTAGTTTAGCCTACTTTACAATTGTAAGAGTCTATAAATGTTAAGTACAGACTACTTTTAACAGGAAAAAAGGAAAAGGAAAGGGAAAAGGAGAAGAAAGGAAAAGGAAAAGGAAAAGGAAAAGGAAAAGGAAAAGGAAAAGGAAAAGGAAAAAGGAAAAGGAAAAGGAAAAGGAAAAGGAAAAGGAAAAGGAAAAGGAAAAGGAAAAGGAAAAGGAAAAGGTATCTTTAAGAGCCACAGTAGCCCAAGCAGTACATTTTTGCAGGGTAAATTTCAAGAAGAAATAGAACATGTATTATTCTTTAGAAGTATTTTAAGCGGGTATAACTCATCAGGGACATTTTTCAGTACAGTATATATTAACTGCACCAGATATGAAATTTGTTTTTATTGAAAAGCACCGTCCTCTGCCACAAAGCTTTTCTAGGCATAATGGAGAAGGTTGCACAAAAATGCTGCTTAGATTCTTGCTGTGAACAAAATGAGCATATAAAATTACTTTGAAATTTCATACATCCACAGCACAATCATTATTCACTGTTTTTAAAGCACAGAGACATACTTGTGATTCCCAAGATCTTACATTCTTGTAATTACACTGCAAGGATAATATGTAAACAGTATTTCTATCCTGCTGCATAAATTCACCTGTGGTATCCAAATATTTAAGCATTTTCTACAATCTTTTCTTTCTTTCTAGTTGTCTAAAAGCTCAGGCTTACAGTATCCATTTCATTATGCACTAAACACTTTACAATTTTCTTCATATCCATCAGGTTTGTAAATGATAGGGCGAGCACAGAACAAACAGAAGGTCACTGAAAGCAATTTTACTTCTGAAGTGACCAAGCCCTGCTTCTTGCTGTCCCTGCAAGGGGCCAGTTGCCATGGTGTCTCAGGATAGTCTTGGATTTGTTCTTTCAGCTGCTTCCATTTCAGTCTTTGATGGTAATCACATTACATGCAGAGGCAGGATACCACAGTTGGTGGGTTCTTTTTTTTTCCTCTTGATTACTCCACCCTTGCAAAATAACAGCCTGCACTGCATCAATTGAGACAAAATATATTTTGATTTGCTTTGTGCTGCTCCTGCTGCAGATTTCCTTCATCTTGGCCCTCACAACACAGTCTATATTGCAAAAAGAACTGTCTCAACAGCTTATTTCTACCAAAGTTATAGGAGAGAGATTCTGTAGTCAAAAACATGATGCCACTGAAAATTAATACCAAAAACTTTACTTCTTTAGAGCAGCGATGACTGCAATAAAATAAGGACAAATGTGACCTAGCCAGCATTTCTGGCAGTAGAACAATGTGACTGGAAAAGCTGTAGCTGTGATCAACACCCAGAGACATGGTTATTCCCTCAATTCCCCTTAAAATACATTTCTTACAGAATGCAATCCATTAGTATGACAAAAAAAATAATAAATTGCTATATTGATCATCAATATTTAACACACATCATGCTAGAATACCTATCTTCTGGCAAGTTAACACCCTAAAAGTCACTGCGTGGAAAATGGGTATTGTCATCTTCTATATCTGTATGTGAAATGCTGCATTGCAGCTTGTTGAGAAACTATTAATATAGCCTGTCAGTTTGGAACATAAAACAGCTGGTTTCAGAAACTAAGGCAGAAATGTGAGACAGGATCAGGAAGTGAATAAAGAGTAATTTTCACTGCATCAAGCAATCTAATCTCATTAAAAAGCACTTTCTCTTCTCATAATTCATCACACAGAATGGTAAAGCAAACATGATTTTCCCCTAGTGGAGAACATTCTAGGCTCTTTTTAAAATATGATGCAATCCAGCCCAAGAATTTATAGTTTCAATATTCACAGAAAATGGTTTGTATTCCACACATTGCCATGTCTTTTGCAAGACAGTATGTTTACTAAGTTGAAAGATACATACTCATACAAGTACTTATTTATATGGGCTGTATTTTTATTTCTGCAGAGAAAAAGAGTTGCGATGTATTGGGATTGGAAGATTCTCTTCTGGTACAGAGTACATCCGTGCTGCACTGCCAAACTAGGAGGAAAGCCCTGAAGTCAGTTTGGCTCTTTCTTGGCGAAGTATAAGCAATCTTTCTATGACAAGTGTCAGAGTAATTTAATTTCCCTTACTGTACATAGTTAATTTCTGTTACTGAACACTGTAACTCATAATGGGAATGCTACAAAACAAACAGAATAGATGCTGAACATAATAATTAACAGACAGTATAATCTGAAGCTTAGAGAAAGGTGCACTTCATTCAAAACAATTCACTATTAGATATCTTTTTTGACTGCGGTTTTGTAAAAAGTTAGGGGAATTTCCTACCAAGCAAGGTGCAGCTTAAACTTCTAAGTAGCAAAGAAAAACATTCAATTTTCCTCTGACAGACGCAGGAATGCAGCTCAGATATATAAATGTGAGTGAGAAGAGGGGAAGGAGTGTGCGGAGGGGTATGTGCTTGGAGGCAGCACAAATTTAGATGCAAACATTAATAGCGTGTAGATAGAAACTGGACATAGGGAAATCAAATCCAGGTGTACTTACACGTACATTACCTGGCAAACATACTCAGAATTATTTAGCTATGTTGCCAGTGAATGTGCTTGTCGTTATTAATCAATGTGGTTCTTGTGGGCAAGTGTAAGCAAACAAACCAGTCAGCCCTACTGCTGAAGAAAATGTTTCATCAGATATGATCAGACAACTCAGGATTTCCAAGCACAGCCCAGCTGCCAATTATCTTATCTAGAATCCCAGTTTATAAATAGATAGTAACAATGGTATACTTAAATTGCCATTTTGATTGGAAATTTTTTACCTGTCCATTTTTACTGCATCTAATTAAATGGTTATACATTTTTAGTAAATGCATCACTGCAATCACTACAGTTTTCTTCTAAAAAATATTTCTCTACTACTCTGAAGCTCACTCCTTTCTCCCAAAAGCTTTGAAGCTCTTTGACACTACCAAAGCACTATAACTCAGCTTTCCATCATTGCACTTACTTTAGAAGATACTCTGTGATAGAATTTTTCTAACAAACAAGCTTGTACAGACCAGAGAAATCTGGACTTTTTTTTCAAAAGTAAAAATGACCTCTAAGGTATTTAAAGGATTATGTTAAAAAAAGACTATGCTATTAAAATAGAATCTCATGCGTAGAGCGTCCTAGATAGCTACCTAAGATACTACTGAGCATTTCATAGTGTCCTCATTCAGCCGAACTTGTGACACTGCACAAAGAGTAAATTGTTGGCCACTGAATTGTAATGACTTTCAATTTTCTGATCTGCTTTGGGAATGTATTATTGGTTACAAAATCTAGTTCAATGATGCTTTGCACATTTGAGAATTGAAGAAGGCAGTTAGCGTAGCTGAGGGCAGTTTAGGATTTTGAAGCATTCATCTATGCTAGAGACCCCTGCAGAATGCCTTTTGATTCATGCAATACGTCTAATGTCTGACACGAGCAATATTCAAAATACAAGGTTGACATTCTCAAACCATGCTGAAGGTGTCACAGTGATAACGTCTGGAAGAGAGGTTGAACATCTGGAGGAACACAAGACTGCATTGGAAGTGAAAGCTAAACTGTCAGCATGATGAATTATGCTCAAAATTACGTCTATGCAATTGTATGTACAACAAAGAGCAATAAACAGAGCCTGAAATACTGTACAATACTTTCAGGCAAAGCTGCTGGTACAGCACTGTTATTTTTGTAAGGACAATTTCAGCACCACCCTGGAAAACAACAGGCAATTACTTATAATTATTGAATCTGCTACGTAAAATGCTGCACATCAGCAAAAACCTAATTCAGTTTCCCAGTCAGCTTTCAGTGTGTCTTTACCTCTGAACAGTGTGTGCCTTGCACAACACGCTTCTTTCAATGGAACACACACACAGAACAGTGCTGCTGTGCACTCATATACTCTAGTCTCATTCTGCATGAGATGTTTGCAAGTATTTAAGCAATCAGCACGCACAATTCCAAGGACTTTCTAAGCAAAGCAGATACCTTTAAACACTGCAGTGTAATTTGCAGAGACTCTAAAACCTCCCTTACCTCTTTCTTTACCTCTTCTTCATCTTCCAGAGTCAGTGCTGCCAATTGCTTAGCTCTCTGCTCCATCAAGTTTACATATCTGATTGGATTGGATAAGGCCTCGATCACATCTAGAAATAATGCAAATACATCAATTTCAAACCTCTTATGTTATATGCTCTTCAGGCTTTAAGATGCTGTATTTTTCCTACAGATCTGCCAGTGAGAGATACTCCTAAGTCATAGAAACAGTAGTGAATGACAGTATACCATCACATGCAAGTACTCTAATGTACCCTCTCTGACTTTCTGCTTGGGTCATGTGGATGTGCATTTTTCTGAACACAGTGTTTTATGATGGCTTTTCAAAGCTTACACCCAACTTGGATTTTACTTCACACGAGGCACACGTGAGAAAGGAACACTACTAGAAATGTCATTTTAGAAATAAAAACAACAGAAGTACTATACAGAATACCTTTTTTTCACAGCATTACCTGCGTAAGTATCAGGCACATAGTCTTTGACCTCTATGTACACAAAGAGAGCTGGCAGTGTCAAAGGTTGGTTCCTCTCATTCCTCAAACAGATGTAGTGGTAGCCTGTAAAATAAGAATGAACCAGTTCAGAGCAAGAACTCTTCTATGGAGATGTCCAATGCAATGTGTTAACATTTATTATTTATAGTTTGGCTCCAACTGAGCCAGCAACCCCAGGGACTTCTATCAGGGTAAGATTTACCCAAAGGGTTTCAGAGATAAGTAAGTATGCAGACAAGGGATTGTTCGAAAGGCACATGACACTACAGCTTAAAATAGTATTTACACTTTATTTTCACATCTCTGAATAATGCTAAACGTTGTCATTAATATAATTTTGAATGTTTTCTCCTGTATTGATTTTTACTGGAGTTTTATTTGGTTATTTGTTTCATAGCTCTTGCTATGTTTTCAAAAGTGACCATTATAGTACTCAGGAATCCAAACTGACAAGTAAAATTGAGATCAGTGATGTAATACCTAATTAAAAATATAGACAATGTAGCATTATAACTACAAAGTGTGTGAGGGGTGAATCCTGTCATGTGACAAACTGTAGGAATATATCTGTTCCTGAAAAATAACATTTTCAGACAGTTTTGAAAGACAGTTGTCCTGTAACAGTACATATACAGCACTGCAGTGCAGATTAGCCAAGTTAATGGCAAAGAACCACAGATTTGGCAGCCCCAAGCCTCTTCTCCCAGCCACCCACTGCATGACTTGCCTGACTTTGTGAATAGACAGCCCAGCAACCTAAACTTTGGAAAATGCAAACATCAGAAATTTCCCAGAGTCCTCCTTCAGTGCAGCTCCCTCAAATGCCTCACCATACTGCTTAATTTAAATATAGCAATGGGATTGCTGGTAGGAATGGGAGAAATGGACTTCCAGTCCCAGCAAACTGTCTTCAGTGTGGCAAAGCTGCATCCTTTGTCTCCCACATGATGGCTGAAGCTGTTGTCCAAAGGGATGAGTATGGAGCCAAACATATGGGTAGTTGTAAGATACAAGACACAAGCAGGATGAGTTTATCTGGAGGGATCCTCACTTGGCTGATCGAAGCAACTCCCTCTCCAAGTAATATCCAAGTAACAGCTAAATTCTTGCTTCGGGAATAATGACAATACCGTGTGACAGTATGATGGTTTTCAATGTCTCAGAAAAGAGCTAAATTTTATATTACAAAGGTTTTTCAGTCCCCTCTAGTTCCTCCAGCAAATTTTCAGCACGTACAAAAGACTAAAACCAACATGCTGCTCTCCATCTCATGCTGTAAACAAATACTGGAGTCAAAAGGACAGAAGAAAATGCCTGAGGATAAAAGCTCTCAAAAGTGCTTGTATGATTTAACACAGTGGCTTCTGTTCTAAAAATTTCAAACTTAAAAGCATGAATGTGATTTAATGTTCTGTTGAAAGGACTCTGTGCCACATGAAGGGTAAGTGCCGCAAAAAGGGATCAGCCCTGCTAAGAGCTCACTTCCACCAGATGATGGAAATCCTTCACAACTCCCTTTCTTCTTACCCATCACATGTCTTCCTCTGGAGCTAGACGGATCCACCACAAAGCAAGCTTATCCATTAACCCAGCAGAAAATATACCTAGCATAAAAATGGAATTTTCCACTGTACTAATAATCTAAGCTTGCTCACAAAAAGGTATGGAGATCAGCAGAGCTGGCACATCAGCCAGGAATGTGTGGCCAACAGCAGGAGAGAGGAGGGAAGGGAGAAAGGAAAGAGAAATTATGACCACTGAGGAAATCCTCAGAGCAGTGGATGCCCAGCAGTCACATCCATCTACCTGACCATGCTCACAGCGAGGCCACATGACCCACACCAGCCAAGGCAGGATGGCTTGGAGTTCTTCTTAGAAAAGCCCTGACATCACTGGCCATGAGAGGGGATCTAGAAAGTACTGGAAGAGATTTAGAGACTGATTTAGATAGTACCTCAGCTAAGGTCTTGAGGAATAATATGGACAACAACTGCTAGATACAGGGACACGTAAGTTATATGTTACTGCTGGAATCAAGTAGACCAGGTATAGTGTAGGAAGATATAGTCTTCCTTTTCCACAGTGAAAGTATCCACTGGATACTTTCCACTGGAAGTATGTTTATGGCCCATATGCTTGCCCTAGTTTAGATTCCTCCCCTCCCCTCACTGGAAAGCTGGTACTGAAGTCAGACACTTTTTTCTGCTCAAAATGCCAGTGTCACTGTAGCTTTCTGAAGCAAAATATTTAACAAGTCTCTTGATCTGGAAAATTACATTCAAGTGCCTATTAATTATAATAGTGGTAATAATATGATTTGGAAGAGGCCAGGAATTATTTTTTATATATATTTTTAATAGTTGACAATAACAGTTTAAGTAATTTGAGACTGATTTAAAGGTTTTGCAGAGCTACAACAACTTGCATATATGTTGCATGCATATTAAAATTACACTACAGGAGCATCTTCTGTTTTCATTCCCAGCCATCTCCACTCTCAAAAAGATGTTTGTGTTTTTTTTTTTTTTAATCTACTAAAGATCAGCAAGTGCCAACCACACCTTTGATATTTAATTCTGATGTTTTTTCTGGTTGATTAGAAATCTACATTTCTGGTGAAATATGGTATTTCCCTTTTCAAAGTTGAAATATATTATTCAAGTTCTCAGATTGTATAAATCTACAAGGTTGCTGGTGAACTACAGTAATTAGGATTTGGATTTGCTTTTTTTTTCACTACACAATATCTGCTTCAATGGAGAAACGGGTTTACCTGGTCGAATTGCTGAGACTGGTAATATCCGATGGCCAATAAATTTCCCTCCTTCCTCATACACCGCTAGCCTCAAACATGCCAGGGTAGGTAAAACAACCTAAAAAGAAATATTGCCACATTATTAACTTTCTGCTCTGAATGAAACAGCTCGATCCAGACAAAACTTACCAGACAGCAAGATAAAGTTAAGCCCAGCAGATAGTAACATCTATACATCCACAGGAGGTTCTACCATACAAGAGCTCAGGGTGGATAAAATAAAAATTAAAAATTAAAAATTATTAAAAATAACTCTCATAGAACTGTTCTTCTTTCAAAGAACTTGAGGTGGGATGTTAGCACAATACGTCGAATCCAACAATTTGGCCCTGCATTTTCAATATGATACAAGGGACTCAGCTCAACTCTAATCACATTCAAACGCTTTCCACTTAATCAGTCAGTCTTGCATATTCTCTTTTTCCTTTGTGTCTGCACCAAATGGATTATTTACTTCTCAAAAAAGCCTCTGGTAACGTATCTTAGTATTGAAAACTCAACATGCAACTCAACACAAGTTGCAAAGTGTTAATGTCTGAATTACATGAACCATATCAACCTCAGTAGCATTTTTGAGTGCTGCAGTCTACTCAGGGGAAATAGGTTTAACCAGGTGGGATGCTTACTAGCACAGGATGCTATCTTGCTACCAAATACAAAAGAAGGCCAAACAGTGAAAAAAGAAAACAAATTGAAATTGGCTACTGAGCTACTTTACTAAGATTGAAATATTTGATATTACTTCTAAAAAATAGTGTACAATTTAAAAAAAAATCATTTTCTTACTCTGTAAATATACATAAAATAACATGTATTTTGGAGCTGGGTGCAGGTGAGTGTTTTTTTCACACGTCTTGCTAAAATTGACACAGACATTGGAAGAAAAACAAAAGCAACAATTCAAAACTAAGAATCTCTACAATTTATTTTCAACGCTACTAAAAGTACTAATCTATGCTTCTCAGAGCAGAGAGGCAGTCAGGGCATGATTGTAACTAAACAGAGAAATGAAGCACATTAATTAGAAGTTCATTATAGAAGAAAAATCCTAGTGATGTTTCCAAACTTAAGCTCTGGCAGGCTGCCAAAGGAAAGTTATTCAGAAGGCAAAATATTCTGGGAAAAGGGCTGTACTCCCAAGAAAGCAGGGCTGCAAGGACCAATTGTAAAAACATCTCTGTGAGCCGTACATTTGCCAAGAAAAAATAAATCACCTTTTTTTTCAAATACCTGGACTCAGGACCCAACTAACCAATAAATACAATCCAGATGACAGTATAGTTCCTGCTAGAAAACTTGCTGTAGGTATACTGTGAAGCACAGTAAGACATCCATGTTGTATAGTCCTAAAACATGCTCAGTGTTTTCAGCTCCTACATCTCATATTTCAGGTAGGTATTTCAGCTAAACTACTTCAAGAATCTGCACTTGCTCATTTATATGACAGCACTGCATCATCCCATGTAGATGAGTCCACTGACATATTTGCTATTTCTAGCTGTATTCTAGGCAAACAACTGAGGTGACTTGAAATTGATTTATTTCATTATGGGCTTGGCATGACTAAAATTATTGCAAAATTTTACCAGAAATAGTTAATAACATACAGTTGGAGAAGTAGCTGTTACAAATCTCTCTATCTTTTTTAACAAACGAAATCCGTAGAACACAGAATTAGCCAACTGGGCAGTGATTAAACACACTCAATGCTGACTTAAGAAGCAATGTTACACAAACCTTTTTAAACACTATAGTTTCCTCCTCCCAGACAGGATTAACTGCATTGCCTTGTGAGGTCTTGGTCTTTAAAGCTTTTCTTCTTGTATCCACAGGCAGGCCAAACATATCAACTTCTACATAGGTACCAACTTTTTTATCGGAAAGAAACTGACCTGAAATAATCTAAGATCAAAACAAAGTGGATGTCACTAGAGATTGCTGAACTAAGAAAGTGGCTAAGATGGAGGTGGATAATCCTCATTGTTTATCAGATAATATGTGTTTTCAAAGAAAAACTAAACAAGCAAAGAGCAAAACAAAAAAAACCAAACATCTAAAACAATAAGTAAATAAAAACACTGTTTAATACTGCAGGCACAGAAAAACAGCTTATGAGGTCTGATTTCCTGTGGACCTGTGACCCTGAATTCCCCTGTGAGCAATAATGTGGTTGAGATCATGCTACTGCCCTTCCCTTAGCAAGAATAGTCATTTGGATCTCATTCCCCAATCTTATTGTCTCTATGCACAGTATTTTTGAGACCTTTAATTTTTAACCAGTTTCAACAACAGGTTTAAAACACAGTGCTGGAAGGAAAGAGGTATATGCAGTAGAGTAACTATATATGATTCTTACTGGGAGGAAAAAAAAAAGGCTAAAATAGATATTTTAATAAAGGCTCTTCATAGAGGGTGAGGACTTTGAACACAAGACAATTGTAAAATAGTGGGCTTTTCTAGTTCTTAATTTAACAGGAAACTCAACTCTCATCTTTAAAAAGTTTAAGAAAGCTCTGCAATTAATTCAGAAAATTAAAGAGGCATTTACAGCATTGCCTCTGTAACATAAGAAATTTGTCTTTACCTAAAACAAGTCTAATTCTGTTCTCAAGTGGATCAGTGTTGACACTGCCTTTATGGCACACCTAGTAGAGCCTACTCTGAGCAGGCAGAAGTGGCTGCCTCTGACAGCTCTCATGATTCCTGGATCCTCATTCCTGTTAAAAACACTGCATTTCTCAATAACTGTCAAATGACTTCCACCTCTATTTAGTAAACTGGCAGAAGAATGAGCCTCTAAACCCACAAGGGGAACTGAAAGCTTCCATGACTACAGGTCACCATGGGAGGTCATTTCCAGAGTTGTCTTTTTTCCTTTTTTACCATGCATGTCGGCAGGTTACTGCTTTATTCATAGCCCTCTGAGCACTGATCTGTTACACTGATGTCTGCAGCTTGAGAGGAAATACTTGTTTTTCCTCAATGAAAACAGGATATTTTGCAGGTGGATTCTATAATACACACACTGGTCTAATGGGAAGTCCATTAAAAGCAGAACAGGATTTCAGAAAGTTTATGTTTTCATAACTAGAGTTATACTCAGTATAAATTTGTGTCATAGCCAATGCAATCTATCCCTACAAACATTCATAGGAGTTTTCAATTTGTAGATTCCTGGCAGTCCTTAAACTTCATTAGATGTCCTTAAAATAGGAACCACTGAAAGCAAGTTGGCAATGACTTGCAGCTGACATTTATGGTTCCAGATTATTGCTGGAGAACTTAAAGGGAACCAGAAATTTATTTATACCAGTGTACTGTTCTAACCATTCCACTGCAAGTGACCGCTTTGTAACACAGCATTTTAAATTCAGCCATTTCTAAATAAAACCACAAACTACTCTTAAATTCATCAATTATGCAAATATTTCAACCCTCCCACCCCCCCCAAATATATATATACCATAAAAAGACACTTATTTAAACTACAACAAAATATGAGGCAGAGCATTATCTGCCATTTAAAACTTAAACATCACTCCATGAAATGAAATGAATTGTACTGTCCTGAATTAATGTGGCTATTTGCTAGGTCTCTGCACAACAGAAATTTATCCATGCTCTGACATTGTTATGAGAGTATTTTCACCACTGCATGTACATACCTTCACAGACAAGGTGTTAGCTACAATTCCATCCACAATACTTTCAGTAAATGGATCAAAGTGTTTGTCTGGTCTTCTCATGAATTCTGGCTTTAACCTGTATCCACTTTTGCCATTGTACTCATACATTCCCATATTTATTTGCATAGACAAATCTAGGTATTATAAATATTGATGAGAATTATTTTCTGGATAGATAACGATTTAGAAAAAGCAATAAAATAGTACTATTTATTCTAGTCAAATGAACTACAACAAGTACAACTACTACAAAAGCTATTTATGCTGCTATATCTATTAAAAGAACTTTCAGATGTGACTGCATCCACCCTCTCTTGGATTCTTTCCATAGGGGAATCACATCCACATGGCACCTTTCAGAGACTACTCAAAAGATAACTTTTAAATTTGAAAAGGAGTGTTAATTAGGTACTGAGCACTTTAGCATTGTACTGACTGCACTGCTGTATCCATGCCAGCAGAGTATTTAATATCTCAAACCCCTTTTAACAACAGACAGCAGGAGCCTGATACTTAGTTGAAATCTTCTCAGAGGAGTTTTCATTACTCTGTGGACTTCCAGACCATGTGTAATTCCATGGAGTGGTAGCATGTACATGGGCTCTACTGGAAATGAAAAAGGGAATGATAACATGATACCATGGACAGGATATATCCTGGGATCCAGTATCTGGAAATATTCATATTTCTCAGAACAAATACAATCTTTGAAGGCGCCACACCTATTTCAAAAGTGACTTGTGCATATAGGGGCCCAAATGTCTTTGTTTCTTAATTTCTTACTTCTAAAGTGGAATTTTCTTTCCACTTTTTTTTTTGCATACATCCCTTATGTCCTGATGTACTGAGATTTTTTGCAAGACTGGATAAAAGTCACAGCTAACTCCCAAATGTTGCTTAATGGTAGCCACTTAGAAATGATGACAATATGGAGGCCAATATGTATAAATATTACACTAGCTACAGAACATTAATTACAACTATTCCCAGTTAAAAGATAAACTGCATTAAAAACATAAATTTACAGCCCTGTAGTTCAACCACTGGACTCTTCTGATGCATAAAGCCTTTCTTACCTACCAGTCATGAACTGTATCAAGAAGTAGAAAAGTACAGATTACAAAATCAAGAGACCAGCACAACTTACCTACTGTTTGGAAATTGAGAGCCACCATTTGGCAGCCAGCATTCCAAAAGACTTGTGGCATGTAGTTTGAAGAATCTACACGTGTTCCTTTTGGGTAAATTCGGCTTAGCTGCATTTTGTTGTATCTAAATGATGGGCAGTTAAGATTTTGTACATGTATCAAAAATGACTTTGCAGAGAGGTCACACAACTGCTATACTTAAATGCAAATGGTCTTTACAGAAGGCATTAGGTTCCTAATTGGATTTCCGCAACCGTAATAGCAGAGATCCACATTTTTGTAGATGATATAAATTAATGGGGTAATTAAAGGTGACAAAATACTCAGAATAAACAAAGAAGTAGCACAGGTATATGCTTAAGAAAGATTGCATTCATAAAATTCCATTTATAATTATAGTTCCTAATTCAGAATTTTCCTAAGATTGCATTTTTAGCAGTAAACAGTGAATCTTACTCTGGCAGGGAAAGGGGTTCTCAGTTAAAAAGTACAAGTGTTTGCTCTTTTGAAATGAGCATTAGAATTGGCCTCTACATAAAGACAGAAATGATGACTTTGCACTTCTTATAGTTCAGTCTACAAATCTCAGAGATGAGAACATGCTGCAGGTTATCTGTGGAAATTGCTTTCCATTAATCTTCTTTAAGGCACTATTTTATCTTGGTCATTTTTTTCTTAACTGCAGCCAGGATGAGACATTGAGAAGCATCGTAAGGTTTGAACAGATTCCTCCTTAGCTTTTCTTTAAAAGCTACAAGAGAAAAAGTAAACTAAATAGAAAAATAGAATTGGGTGGCAATAAGGTCAGTGCTCTTGGAACTAGATGGGAAAGAAAACTCTCTTGCATGACTTTACAAAAAGCAAGTCAGCCACATTTTGCCAGTTTGCTTACTGTAATTCAGACCACTTCACATTAGATGATAAATTTATCCAAAAAAAATACAAAATAATAGGTCTTCATTATACAGTTTGAGCCTATTCCCTGCAGTCCTAACCCATAGTACAAGGACTCTTGCCAGCTTTTAAATTAGCTCATCAGTCCAGCCCAATTAAATCATCTATGAAGACAGTTAAGTCTACAAATCTCATTTGGTTTCCATATTTTTCCAGCTCACGTCTTCAAATTTCAATAAAGCCCTGTAATAGATCTCAGATATAGAAAACCTAGGAAAGTAGCTTTCTGAAAGTCAAGGATACTCCACGAATTCCACAGGAGACTTGGTAAGTTGTTCAAGCCCTTTGGTTTCCACGAAGGAAGACATTTCAAAACTTTTGTTGCGTTCTGCAGTTTTAAAGGAGGGAGAAAAACAGTGACATATTAGAGCATGAAATCATATGCAGTATATGAACTAGTTTAGTTTCAGTCCTCTAACCAACTGCTCGCTAGCGCACTTCACCTTAATCTCAAAGAATTTATATATGCAGTCATTTGTGAACCGCTGTAAGCTCTTTCTGCATACACTCAAAGGCACCATCCAAACTCGCACTAGCATTGCACAAATGAAGGGCAATTGTACTGCCTGAGATATCCACTGTACTAGTTGCTGGTAAAAGAAAGTCAGTGCATGTTAGAGATCTCTCACATTTGCTTGCACAATACCATGTTCATATATTAGACAGGTACTGCCCAAAGCTCACACAAGAGACAAAGGTATTATGGCAAATTTTGTGGGGAACAAAACCCTGCCAGATGTCTACACTCTTTGCAGGCAGATATAATAATGGCTCCGAGCCAATTACAAGTTCTGATAGCTAATGTCCATATCAGATTAAACTTGTGCCTAAAGGGCTTCTTGATACCGTCACGATGTCAGGGGAAACTCACATCTGTCTCAAACAATCACAGAAACACTGCTATCTAATCATGACTGAAGGCACACTCCTGTGTCACAGCAGGTCTTTAGACCTAATGATGGACTCTTCTGGAGCATCCATAACCTTTAATTTGGTCAAACTTTCTGACATGAACTGATTGTATTGCCCCTGCTAAGCATGTAACTCAGTGGGACTGAACATTCATTTGTGTATCACGTTACTCACTTTGCCTAATGTTTGCACAGCCTTTCAAAGTACCATGTGACATGTACCAGAGCCAAAGTCAAGGCCCTTCAACCTTCAGTACTTTTTCTTTTAAATTTTATACAGAAGGTAGAGATTCCTGTAACATAACAGCTTCCCATTTCATCACAATCAGCTCTGCAGACTGTACAGAATGGCTAACAGCATGAAAGATAACAGCCATTAAATATCTCAGCACTGCTCACCTTAAAAATGAGATAAACAGTCCATTAGTAGAACACGAACTCTCTACCCTAACCACCCTATTGAAAGAAAACATTGGAGAAAATGCTTGCCCTATGCAATTCTTGAAGAAATTGTTACAGTAATCCAGGGATGGCCCGAAGGCCAGCATGGCCAGCTCCTTGAAGTCAAACCGCGAAGCTGCAGAAGACTGACAAAACTGAACAAAAGCACTTGTATTGCAGAGAAAAGGAGATGAGAAACAGGTGGACATTTCCATTATAGGAAGCCAAAAAGGAAGCAGTGGCTCCAAAGAAAAAAGGAGCTAGAATGTCTGGGCCAAGGTGAGAAGAAAATGTACTGCCAGATACTGATCTGCAAACTAGATGGCTGAAGCTATTCTTGTTGTATGTTGAAGAGCCAGAGGATGATTGTGCTGTTTCAAAAATTATTCTCTATCTCTAGGGGAGCTGGAACCTATACTCTGTAGTGGCCCCTACTTCTAATTAGCAACTAGCATGCTACTTCCATTATTTATAGCTGTATCTCCAAATGGTAGAAGATTCCTACCATTCCTTAGAGGCTACTCTCTTACCAGTCATTTTCCTTTCCAATAAGCAGGATCTTCTCTTTCTCCCAAATTCAGTTCCAGATAGCTCACTCCCATCAAAGCACCTTATAGCACTGAGATTCTTCTTCCACCCCTCCTCACTAACAGGATGTTGTGTGCAATGTGCACATACAGTGCTAATGCAGACTATCACCTGTGTAAGAACAGGTCACTGTGCTGCTGATGACTAAGTTTTTATGTCCCTGAATGTTCTGAGGCTTACTTTCTTAAAATTAAGCTGAGTTTCTTATGAATCATTTAGGAATGATCACTGATTCCTGTGAGCATACCACGAAGGGAAGCTCTCCTGCAGCTCCTAACAAACACTTTGCTTGTATCACCTGAGAAAAACATTTTAGCTGATGGCAACCAGACAAAAAAAAAAAAAAAGGAAAAAAAAAAAGAAATCTCATTTCATTTCAATTTTCAAATGAAATCTCATAAAGAGACACTGAAATACAACGGTGATTTTCTGTTTGCAATGCTATTCTACTTCTTCACCTCATTGCTTCAGTAGCTACTTAACTAATGTCCTATCAGGAAACAGTGACTAAATGTGTTCTATCTCCACAGTTATTCAACCAGTGTAGGACTGCTACATAAGGCATGAAAAACATGTTCAAGGAAAGATAAAGAGCATATCTTTTATTCTACTTAGAATACAAGTGCTATTTTTTTTTTTTTTTTTTTGGTAATAGTAGTAGTATGCAGTATTTCTCAGTATTTATCTTAAAGTAGAATCTGCAGGAAACCAGAACCAGTAGCTGGCAAATGTCACTAAATGTTCAGAGCTTAAGCAAATTCCTAAACAAAATACAAAAACTTATTCCCCTACAGTAACTGGAAAGGTCTAAGAAACCTGTCCTTTGAAGAAAAAACTGCCCAGGAGAGGCATTTCTCCCTCATTATACATTAACTTGTTAGTTTATCGGGAGGAATTCACGATAGAATGGATAAACTAACTGAAAAACTCCTACCAATTTGAAATAATATCCTGAAACAGTAGCAATTATTAGCTGTCAGAGAGAGGGAATACACCTAGTAAGGGCCATTAGGGAACTGTTACAGATCTAGTTGTATTCAATATTTTTGTTATCAATCTGAATGCGAGACCAAAAATGCACTCCCTACAATGTATAAATGGCAGCAACAGCGAGATGCTGTTACCACAACAGAGGTGAGGATCACAGATCAAAACAAATTCTGAATTAGATGATTCAAAATTAGAAAAATTTCTTATTGCTGAAAAGATGAAACTTTATAAAAGACAAGAAGCAGATGAACAAAAATACAACCTGGGAAAAATTCAATAGGCAGCAAAATAAAAAATAATTTTAACTCTTTCCTTATTTAGCTTACCTTCACAGAACTTAACAAAGATTCAGCTGAGATTTCAGGCCAGGACTAAGACCAGAACCCATAGTTCAAGTGGCCACTGCTTTAAACACCTAGCAGTATTTGCACACTATGATTTTTTTTTTTTCTTTAATACAAACAGCTGAAATATTAATCACTTAACATAATGAGTTCACAAAAACAAGGAAGACAACGTAAAAAATCTGGATATGAGCAGTTCTTCAGAAAAGACAAAACTTGGAAAGGCACAGGCATGGGAATAGAAGAAATCTACATTCTCTAAAGGGAATTTTCTAACAGCAGCATGAACTTCTCCTGCTAGGATTCACATGGCTTCCTTTCCAGTAGGAATATCTCCTTCCCACTGTGTACTCATAACTCTCATTAGAGCTAATGGATATTATAAACATCCAAGGAATGCTACTGTAGGGAACAAGCACAACTCCACATGATTTTGTGAACGCTTATATGTATGTGTTTATACATAAATATACGTGAGCAGCTAGATGACTACTGCTATGCTTTGTATTCAAAATGAGTAAATGTGAAATTGTATGTGCAGATATGGACTTCAGCATCAATTACATGTCCTCTGCTAAGGCCTCCACAAATCCATAACAAATTAAAATGCTATATGCTTCTTGAACTAAAAAGCTCAGAAGGCATATTGCAATCTGTCAAAACAAAGTGAAAAAGGGCAGGCAAACAGTAGGGGGTTTTGCACCAAGAAAGGAAAAGATGCTGCACCGTTTACTGAGGATGCCACAGACTGCATTCCTAGCAAGGCATTTTCTGTAAATGCCAGCAGAGGATGAAGTTATGGCTTTTTCTATACAATACACAGAGGCAGAGAAGAGTGAATTTGTATACGAGGAAGTGCACACTCTCTGCTTACACTGAATCCTCCATAAAAGTAGCACAGAAAAAAACATTAAGCATTTGCTCAATCTGAAGGAATATTTATGATCAATTTTCTCAAACTCACTAAGTTATTCTTCCGCTATGGATAACAAAAACAACCTGATCAAATATTTGGTAAACTGTTTTTGAAGTGGCAGCAGAGTAGACAAAGCCCAATACTTACACTAATGCATGTTTCAAAATAAACATGGATTTATCTGGTTGGACACCAAGGGCCCATGTATTTAATTGAGAAGAATCCAAGCAAGCATTTCTCCAGACCTTTCTTCTGAACACTTGCTAGATAATTTTCAGTAAAGGACATCACTTATGCTTAACTTACTTACTTTTTGATACCTCAAATGATTCAAATTTCACAGGCTGAATGTAGTTCACCAGGTTAGACATCTCTTCTGTGGCCATAGCCTCACTTCCAGCAGTACCCTAAGGACAGAGATGGGAAAATGCTGACATTTTGGCTGGTCAAAATCCATGATGGCCATCAAGGGTCAAAAACACCAAAGTCCAGTTTTCTATCAACCATGAAAGAATCATCTTTCACCATTCTGTGTGATTCTGTGTAATCCTGTCTTAGTGAACTCAATGCCTCACATGGGAGCTTCACATACTAAGAAAGGAAAGATGTTACACAATGTAAACGTTTAATTAAAATGCCATTATATTATTTCTTTCCACATGGCTCCCAGGAAAAGAACTGCACTACCTTTACATATGCATGGTGATACACACGCAATGCTAACCACGCTTATCTGTACTACTGAATAAATAAAAAACATAGCTCTGCATTTTCAACATCCAATTTTATTTCCAGTGGTACCAAATACACCACAAACAGTTGCCTCAGATCATCTGTAGTGTTATCAAATTTTATCTTTCACTAAATTGAAATATTAATAAACAAAATAAAGATATGGTTCCAAACCCATTGACAACCAACTTCAGAAAGTAAGTGATTGCCGATGCTCTGCCTTCCTTTTCCCACTAGATGGCAGTCCCACTCCTGGTAACACAGCCAACCCAGAATGCTGGAATCGATCCACCACCATAAAACAAATCTATGCCCTTACTTCATCCATCGACGACTTTTTACAATCATCATCGTAGTCATCATCATCATCGCTCTCAATCTCTGCTTCTCCTGAAATGTTTTTAGCAGAAGACAATTACTGGCTGAAGCAATAGCTATAAATATTAGGGATAAATCTGTGAAAGATGTACGCTGCTTAAAAGAGAAGACATTATACATGTGCTTTTTGTCACAGCACAAATCAAACAAACTGTCTAGAGGGATTCATCCATCCGTATAATTGGTAAGTTCCTACTGTCTAATCAAAGATTCTTGCTTTTCAGCTGCTGGACTCTTACTATTTGGAAATCACAGGGCAGGTATCAGCACCAAAAAAAGAGCTTCACAGTGTGTGCATTATGTGCACAGTGTGCAGGTATAATATTACAAACTACTTTGACGAGCTGTTCCCATGCTTGGGTCACAGCTCTGTGGTTTAGGATTTCTCTGCTACAGGATCCCTGCGTGACCTTCAGTGACTGCTTTTGCCCCCCAGGAGAAGCACACACATCACAGCATTCACAGGGTGAAGAAATCATGCATAAAAACTGACATTCACATGTGCTGTGGTAATAAGGGCTGCTCAGAGAAATGCATCTGTTCTGAAGATATCACAGTTGTGTGCACCCAGGTAGCACAGCTGGCAGGAGTCTGCTCACACTTCCCTCCACTGATACGCCATTGGTGCGTCTGACTGCTTGGACTCATTGCTCAGCTGTACCGGCTGAGGGCAGTGCAAATCGAGTAATGTGATGAAGATGCATAAAGATCATCCTTCCCCTGAAAGCACTCTGATAGAGTAAATAGGAGCAAATGAAACATATTTTAAGACTTGTTCCCAATTGCAATGTACTAACAAATTCCTATAGGTAAGACACAGATTCATTATTTTTAGTTAATGAATATTCTTCCCTCTCCAATGTTTTGATTTGGTTGCATTGGAAATCAACCCATCTTTCTCTTAGGTAACTCCTTCTGTGCATTTGGCAGTCACAAGGTATACACCATGTACCTTTAGAATACTCTGGAAAAGCAGGTTTAACTTCTACTGCAGTCACCTGTCCACACCTTTGAGATCGACAACACTTCTTTAAAGGTTTCATTCCACAAACCTTTCAGCTTTCTTCAGCAGTGGCAATTATTTCGGCAGCACAAAAATCTTAACCACTGTGCAGCATTCCCAAACTCTCCAGAGAACGGTATTTCAGTTTCTACTGTCATCACAGGGTCTAATCCAAAGCCCACTGAATCCAGAAATTCCTCTCTGTTCCAAGAGGCCTTGAATCATGCCTAGGGGGCCCTTTCTGGCCACGTACATCACATACGATTTAAATAATGAGTGTGCCTTTCACAATGAAATGATGACTACCCAGGCTGCAGATGCAGATGTTGAAATGTCATGCTTTTATTCATGAACACATTTCTTCCTGAACATTTCATTGAAGAAAATAACATGATTGCTCAACAGGCTCAAGGGATGGCTCAGGGAACCTCAGTGTACTGCAAAGAGCCAGCCATGTTCTCACAGGATTTACAGGGACAATCTTTGGGTGGGAAGCTCTCAATGAATTCATCTGGACTGGCAAAATAATACTTCCCATAGTCTGCAAGGGGGACATGGGCAGATTTCAGCCAAGTTGCAACTGCTGAGATACCAGCTTGTTCTTGCTGGAAGTGTCCAGGGAGGGAAGTATGCAACACAGTATTCTTTTATTAAAAAATATTTAACAGGAAAACTCCCAAGGAGATCAGATCTCATTTTCAAGTTATTCATCAGACTGCAAAACCAGCACAAATAATATACAGGATTGCAAGCACAGAATAACTAGGAGTTTTTGAACCTATGGCTATGTCCACGTTGACTTTCCCTCACACGCATGGCTCTGTGCTCAGACTGAAGCTTCTTTTTGCTGTTACACTGCTGCGACACAAACTCTGAGCAAGCCTGGGTCAGGCTTGCAGAGAAGATATCTGTGCTACAGATGCCTCTATGCTTACTCTCCCACACTGTTGGAGGGATTACTTCCATGCCACCACTTCTAGTCATAAAAGTACGTGTGCTGGCATATGCAGTATGACCCAGTACGTGTGTGTGTGTGTGTGTGCGCGTGTGCAAAGGGGACAACTAGATGGGATTCCAAACAGCAGCACAGGACATCTCTATGCTAAGTGTAACACAAATACAGGCAGAGCTCCTGCTGCAAAAGCTTGCTGTCCAAGTATACGACAAGAGCCAGCCTGTGGACAAGGGCAGACAGAAGAATATTAGAAAATAAAAATATCATACTCCTATCACACATGAAGCCCAGTGACTTTCAATAGCTCCAAGAACCACACAGCAAACTTCTCAATGGAGTAACAGTACTAGTTTCAAGGATGTTTTCACTACTAAGTGGGGCAGAGTTGTGAAGGCATAAGAGCACTCAGTGGACAAAGCAACAAGCAGCCAAAGGAGGCTGAATCCCTGCTGATGAATAGATGAGGTCAACACTGTAATACTGAATAGAAGATGATCAAGAGAGGAGAGCTAGGAATGACAAGCCAAATCCTTGTTACTGAGGGTAGTGGAATCAAAGCACTAAAGAATATCTATTCCCACCACGACTCAGCAATTTGACAGCCGAATGTGACAGATATTGAGAAACTAATAAAATGCGATGTGTTGCTTGGAAAATTCAGGAGAATTTGGTAATTTACTTCGTCAGGGCCCTTTAAAAGAACAGTCAAAATGGATTGTAAATGTGATACTTGCTGATGCTGCTTGATAACTCCGTGAATTGGATTTACAATGTTCAGGCAGCTACCAACATCTTGTGGAGGAAATCACCTCTCATTATTTGCAAAAGCTGTACATAAGCATTAACCATTTTTGAAAAGGAAAAGTAAACTTTACTCAGATGCCAGAACATTTTACTATATAGCAATGGGCCACTGCCTCAATGGCTTGTGGCAGCAATGCATTTATCAAGCTATCGAAATATTTATGAAAACTAAGTATTAAACTTCTTACTCAGTTTTCCAGTTAGTCACACAGAAACCAGGGAGATGATTCTATTTTCTCTTTATCTTCCTGTGACCTCCTTACAGCAAGCACTACTTGGATGAAAATTTGATCCTGTTACTGGGAGATCACCAATTTGCTCCAAAATGTAAATACTATTCAATTAACAAGTTTAGTTTCCTGAAGCAAAGGCCTACAACACACAGACACATCCAGTGGAACTGCCACTTTCTTTTAGCAGTGTGATCTAACAACTTAAACTTATTTGAAAATTTCACCTGCTTGCTTCTTTATGCAACCAGGTCTAAGATTCTCATTTACCAAAATGAGACTTACACAAGTGTTATCTCAGAAATTCTTTGTCTGCTTTGCCAGCATTGCTGTATGTATGGGGACAGCTTTAGGGATGTAAGCTTTTTCCACTTACTGATGTTACACCCTACTGAAGTTAGTTTTTACAATTGTCTTGAACAATTTGTGAACCATTCTGCAAAACTCCTGTTTTAGAATTGTTTTTTAACCACTGGTACCATTTCACCATCACTGAGCTTTCATACAGTATGTTTTATAAACTTATCACAAAACTGACTTATTTGGGCTTGAATTAAACCTAAGCTCAAACACTGTGAGGCACAGAGAAGTTTGCTATTAACTGACATATGAATACAAATGTATTATTCGTACTGCTGTGAAAAAAATCATTTAAAATCTCATGAAAGCCAAATCAGCACAACTTTCCCCTGCAAATCATCAGTAATGCTAATACGTTCCCTAGTAAGTGGGGCAGAGAAGTGGAGGAGTAAGAGTGCTCAGTGGACAACACAATAAGCAGCCAAAGAAAGCTGAATCCTAGCTGATGAGTAGAAGAAGTTGACACTATAATACTGAATAGAGGATGGGAAGGTTAGGCTGGACAGGGCTGCGAACAACCTGATCTAGCTGCAGATGTCCCCATTCACTGCAGGGGAGCTGGACGAGATGACCTGTAAAGGTTCCTTCCAACTGAAAAGACTTTATGATTCTATAATCTACAGAAATGCTCAGTGCTCATAGTTGTAGCTGAGATCTCCAGAAATCTCTGCACTCTGAATACTTCTAAATTTAGCATAGTCTTAAAAAGCAAATCCTGGACGTTCCTTGTCAATTGCCTCTGAACTGTTTTTAAGCCCTCTCAGACTGCTGTTCTGAGATAAAATTAGATTAATACTATCTCACTCTCCACAGGTATTGTTAATATAAATTCACTGTTGTTTGTCAAGTACTCAGATGCAGCATGGACATCCCCACAGAAATACACTGAAAGGTCAAGATGCTAGATCTGGAATACTGTATGAATGACAGAAGAGTGAAAAAATATTGACTTATTGTCATTCTCCAAAAGAGGCATAGGTCCTAAAGGAGGAACAATGAGTGTCACAGATTACAAGTATACATTTGCACATTCACAGATGAATCAAGTGACCACATTAATTTTGCCATCTCAGTTCTTGCATTTTCTAGGTGTTCAACTTTGAAATCTATACAGAATATCATTTGTTACACAGGTAGTACAGACATAATATTCACAACTGATTTTTAAAATTACAGACTCTGCTATAGGACTTATTCCCCTGTCCTTCCCTAACCATCAATACCCAAGATTCACAGCCTGAGTCTTTTCCTATAAAAACTCACTGGAAGGCTCCTGAAGTACCAAGCTGTTACCTTCTATGCAGATCGGATAGAGAAAAAAACATAGAGCAAACCAGTTCCCCTCAGGTTTTGGGAAGAAAGAGGTTGGCATATGCTCGCTAATTTTTCTGCTGCTTGTGATTTGTCTAAATCAAATCATGAAAACAGAAGTAAATCATTCCTGACACCGTGATGAATCTTTTTCTGAAATCTAAGCTCTAATCCAAACCATGGCCTTTTGAAAGTTTCTTAATACAATGGCTGAAAACTTATTCTGTCTTTGCTTTTAATAGGATAAACAACGTTATCCACAAATACAGCAGGATTGTTATTGTTGTTTTGTTTTTAATTGAGCTTGAGGCAAACTGCCAGCATGAAGATTTTCAGCTCGATTAATCAGAATTTGAAAAAAATTATAAGCAAGAGAGTAAAAAAATTGATGGCAAATGACAAGAAGTATATATTCTAGAAGAGATTTCAATCCACACTTAAAGTATTCCACTATTAGGGCATAAACATCTATGCTTTTAGCAGTTCACAATTTCAGTCCTATGAAGAAGGATAAATTGTGGTCCTGGGAACAGACACTAGGTTGGGAATCGGGATACACACATTTTATTGCTTGTCCTGCTGATGATCCGTTCCCATCATGTAGCGCAAATCTTTTTTCCCTGCACTTTTATTTTTCTGTTCTAGTTAGACTTTAAGCTCTTCAGAGCAGATCTTACCATATTTTTTTGTATACTAATGCTCACAGTGGTCCCCTGCAGATACCCTAAGCATTATTAGTATATATGCATTAAATTATAGTTGGTATATGGAGTTAGTAGCTTGTTCTATGTCTTAAATAGTCCAGGTAAATGTCAGTGTACTTCACTGATTTTTTGGTCACTCTATAAGTGATCCCTCACCCTTGAGACCTGAGTAATGACACTTGGCATTGTTTCCTGTTGAGCAAAACCTGTACTAGTGTACCTTTACTCTACTAGAGCAATGTTAATGGCTTGAAAAACACAGCTGTAATTAAGTATTTGTGTTTTAGTGAGAAGCATATTTGTAGATTCCATTCATACCTGCTCCTGGGGACGAAGGCTCAAACATACTAGATGTATCACTGCACGTGTTGGAAGCTTGCTCTGAGAGCTTCTTCTTGGCACTTCCATCTGCAGACTTATGTGACTTCTTTTTATTTTTCACCAGAATTTTGTACATTAAATCCATAGGGCTTGGAAGAGGGACCCCAGGTTCAAGCTTTCAGAAAAGAAAGAGAAATTTTTTACAACAAAACAAGAAACAAGCTTACAGTAATTTCTTAAGGCCTACATGGTGCATAATTTTGTAACCCATATGAACCCTGGTAAAATCTACCTCTTGAACAACATTTAACCTTCATTAAGTGAAACAGGGCTATGGAGGGCAAATAAGAGAAGAAAAATACCTTATGAAATGTCTATAGCAATAACTTCAATAAGTTCAAATGTGAAAGCAAACATTATAAATCAGTGGCTATAAGAATCAATTGCAATTAGAGAATTACAATTCAATGTATCAAAACAACTTTTGCATCAGAAATGATATGACTAAGTCACCAACATTACAAATTGTTTTAAGCCCTCCTTTAGACTCTGTCTTGGAAGGCTGCGTATAAAGAATGACATTGGACTGAACAAAATAGAAATTCACAAGATATCTGTGATCTTATAAATACCAAACCATATTACCGGGTATTTCTCCAATGGATCCATAAGCAATGCATCTCCAAATATTAATCTGCAGTACTCTGCCATTTTTGCCTGTTGCTTAGGGCTAAAGGGGAGAAAAGAAGGAAAGAAATGAGTCCTACTAATGCTACAGACTGAAAGAAGCAGTAATGGAATACCTAATATCCCTAAACAAGATATAATTTCCTGATTCAATCACTGTGAATTGTTCACAGAGACATAGATATATCATGCAATTATGCTGATTCTTTTGATAAAGCTTATCAAAAGGATGACACATGAAGTCACTAGGCACTTGAATAATGGTAAAACTGAACTTTGGAGTTGTATTTTACCCACGCACGTAGTAGAAAAAAAATGAGGATGTCAGTTGTTACCTTCGGGGAAATAACTTGCATGAATTTGCCTCTTTCAGACAACAATTCATTCAAAAATTACATATTTTCCTCCTTGTGTTACTTGTATTACTTTACACACATGCCAGGCATTCTTCTCACACCCCCTCCTTTCATTTGGATTTTTTTCTTTCTCGTCATACCTGGCCTAAGGCATCAAAACCCTAACAGTTACACACAGAGCAGCCTCCTCTGCCAGTGTCCCAAACTTGTCACCTTACAAGGTCGTGCCCTTGAGTCTCCAGGGCACAACTGCAAGAAGAATAGGGAGAAGACATTACTTGGGTTTCAAAAGCAGCAAAAATGCATTAAAGGTACTGACAGAGGAGCAGCTAGCTTCACTACAGATTTCATCTCAGCAGCCCACATTCTCAGCCTATTTGTTTCAGCCTATGTGAGATGAGCGCTCTGGGTGCTGTGCCTGTAGCATGACAGTCTCTCCTGCTCGAGCCCTGCTCCCAGAAGCAGCTTTGCAATGCTCTCCCCCATGTGGTGCTGGCCCACTCGCAGACCTCATGGGTGAGGTTGGCACCAGCAGCTTGTGCTGCTCCCGCCTCCTGCTGCATCCTCACTGGCAGAAGTCATAGCATAGATGTAATTAGTACTAATGTTAAGAGGCATTATGTCAATTTGGAGAATTGCTGTAGTAAGTGCTGGTGTAACTGCATTTTAAATTAAATACTGCATGCCTGTAATACATACATAGCTGGGACCAATATAAATACACGAGGTGGAACTGCTCATGATTATTTATGCATGTTGTTTCAGTCAACAGTCAGATTCTTTATTTCCTTATTTTCAAAGGAGATCTGGTGTTGAATTTTACCACAATAAATTACTTTAGTGGTTGTCTTGACATCCTCTAGAAATAAAGTCAATCTCAGCAAGTTTTACTCATAATCAATTTTCCCAAAGTGCAACACAGTAATGAAATTGCTGCGTATCACAGTGATAGGAGTTCTGGGACTGAGGATAGGTTATATTGCTTAGAAATATTACTCAAATCATCTTAACATGCAGTGCACTGCTAAAATCACTCTCTAATTTTAGACAACTGTGCATGTTTGTTATATAGGTCTTCCAAAGCCTGGAACATCTGAGCTTAGGTTTCTTTCAAAATTTTCATTTTTGATACTCTCTGGAGAAGTTTTGATTAAAGTTTGTTTAATACAACCTCCTCGAGTATTATTAATTATGAACCACATACTATGGAAGATACACAGATGATACAAGCATGTATGTTATGTGCTATGGCATATGGAGCTATTTTTCATGACAAAGTAGAACTGGATATATATGAAAAATGTAGTGTTCATTTTTCTCTTGCAAACTAGGAGTACAGCGACTTCAATGTCTATTTCGCCATTAGCCACCAACTGAGCACTTGGCAATGGAGCTCTTCCTGAGTTCAGCAGGGCCAAACCAGAGCTGAGATAAAGGCTGGGTAGCATTTGAATCAGAAAATGTAATTTCCCCAAGATCAGCATGCTGGCTGTCCCTTGAAGCAGATACGGGGTGAACTGGTCATTAGCTCAGTCATTTACAAAACATACTGAGAGTAGGTTTTAAATTATTCCACCAAGCCATAGAAGTGCTGCACGCAATTTAAATCACTACAGTATTTCATTAATTTCTTTTACATGCAGCAAATTCTGCAAAAACGCTAAGAGCCACTTTTAGCTGAGGATGGAAAATTAAGATGAAGACAGGCAAGGCAGTGAAACTAAGAACCCACAAGGGAGATGATGACGGGAGGAATAGATCAGGCAATGACAGTGCTTTAGCTATTTCTAACTGCCAGCTACCAAGGAAAATAAAGGCACCACATTCTGTTCCAGTAAGACTGAGTATTTTGCTACAGCTAGCGCCCACAAGGGGTCTATAGGGATTATTTCAATCATCTCCACTAGTATGTCTTGTGAATACACCCATGCTCTTAGGACCCAGAAAGTCCAAGGGACATTTCCTTGAATCACAAGAGCACAATAATTGAAGTCTTACAAATTTGATGAGTTGTGAGACCAGCATTTTCGAATGGGCACATTGACCCCAAAAAAGAACTTTTGATAAGAAATAGAAAAAGGATGCACACCTTTTATCTAATAAATTTCATACAAAACAGTTAGAACAAATTCTTCTGCCATTCCAGGTTTAATTACATGGTTACCTCATAGAGCACATAGTGAGAACTTCCATTTTTGTAACAGAGAAAAATTCAATGCAGCACTTTTTGGTTTAGCACATAAATTCCAATGTAATCATTTTGCAGAGGGGAAAAAAGGAGGAAAAGGAAAAATAAGAAGTAACAGTTGTTAATAATATAAAAAAAGTCTTGCAATACTAGACAATGACAAAGAACAAAAATCTTGACAGAACAGAATTACTTTTTCTCGTCAACTGGACCGTATGAACTGTTATTTTTAAAAGCCCCCAAGAAAGAACTTGATAAATTTAGGAGATAAGAATTATGTAGGAGTTCAGTATTTGAACAAGTGGCACCCTCTGTGATACACACAAATATATACTTCATTTTAAGAGAGAGAGAGATCATTAGCAATAGTATTACTATTAAAGTACTTTACAGGTTGGAGTATTTGTTTCCATTTATTTTACTTTCTTTTCAAAATTATGAACCAGAGCAATCAACTTTTCTACATTGATGTATTTTTTCATCTGTGCTGTTAAGAACAGTAAGTCAGCTAATTCCTGAAGAAAAACAAACGTCCATATCTATTGTTATTGGAAATTCTCCTAGCCTTCATTTAACGTAACAAAAATTGATTGTCTCAAAACAGCTAACTCTATCTGCTGGATGATTTTCACTTGTATGGATATTGATGGTTACCACATATGCCCTTAGAATGTGGCAGGGCAAGGGAAGAGAAAGTGGTAATGTGACACCTGGAGATATGGAAGTACAGGGAATCTGAAAAAATGTTTTCATTAACATTATTGCATTGCTTGTATTTTATTTTACTGTGTTGGTGCTATGCCATTTATGAAGGTCATTCATAGAGGCTCTCTGATACTACAACACAACCACTCCTAACATTGTATTACCACTTCTGCAGAGGTCCTTATTCTGCATAAAGCAAAGACACAGATCCTTTCCTTTCCTTCCCAAAAGAGTTTAAAATAATTTAAAGTGTTGGAAGAAAAAATGATAATTCCATTAATAATAATTCCATTAATATTTGAAGAAACAATTCCAGCAAGAAATCAGCAGTATGAATAACTGTAATTAAATTTAATCTTGGAAGAAATCTATGGATATTGCTCAAGGATCACTTAACCTTTTTGCTATGTCATCAGTGCATTTCTAATTATAGGCTGTCTGCTTCCAGATTTGCAGATACCTTATCTTCTTGTAAGCTCAACTTTAGACATCAAGGTCTTCTTGAGGTCTTTTAAGAATTTTCAGGTCAGTTTTCTGTTTTTTGAGAGAAGCATGTCTTTTCTTCTTATGGTCTTTCTCAGTATCCATATTTAGATTTTAATAAAAATGATGGTATGCATAATATTGTATATAATCTAAATTCTACAGCTTACTTATTTTTCTAAACTTTTCATTGCATAAAAATAAGCAAGAATGAATACATACTAGAGTTAGAGTAAAGGAAATGAAAGTTATTTACATGCTGCATGTTTGAGAGGAAACCTACAACAAAATCTGAAAGTAAAACAAGATGACTAACACTATGTGCTAACAAATAATTAATTTATTTCTTAGGTGAGCAAAAAGTGTTAAAAATACTCTTGTGAACAGAACAGGGGAAGAAAAACTGCATTTTAAGTTCAGTGGTGATGAATCCTGTCATATGTACATTGCTGATGTATAACTTACTTAACTCTGATAACTGCAATGCCTAACAGCCATGCATAAAAATCACAGGGTAAACCATACTTCTGTTTAAACCAACGCCAACATTTCCATCCATTTGTAGGGGACCAGCATTTCACCCATGCATACTGACTGATTCTTGTAACTTGACAATCAGAAGAGAAAATTTGGACACCCCAAAGTAGGAATTGATGTCATTAAGATTTGTTTTGACAGTTCTACGAAAACACTTAGCACTGTTTGTTAATACTCACAAACTCAATTTTAAGATCTAGGAGGAAAAACAACATTCCAAGTAAAGGAAAAGACAAAGGGAGCATTCCATGGAATTAGATGAAGGTTACTTTGAGTGGCATGACTAATTGCAGATTTCTGTAGAAACCAGTGAAGAAATGAAAGGATAATTGTAGCAGTCAGTAAAATAACTAGAAATTATTTTCAGCCAAAGCAAAATTAGAACTCACACACAGTCAGTCTGATGATTTACTGCAGCAAAAAATCACAAACAGCAAGAGAAGCTCAAAAAGAGAAAATATTTGATATTGATTTCCTAGACTTGCTTTGCTAAAAATGTATGTAATAGAAATAAATGAGAAAAAAAAACCCAAAACATTGAGATAATTCATTCTTTTACGACTGGAGTTTCCTGATGAGGAAGATACAGTGGTTTCTGTGGGGGAAAATTCTTAAGATTGGAGTAATGCAGCAGTCATTCTGGTACCTCTTTGATATGTTCATGCAGCGTCACCACACCTTTGACTCTGATGAAGTTTCATCTTAGAGTTTTGTGCACATACCTTACATCTGGTGTCTTACACCATTATTTACTATATTTTCTTAACATACAACAAACCACTCTGGAAGATCTAAGTCTTAATGACTTTAGAGGAAGAAAAACATAACTGTTCTATTTAAGATAAATGAGAAGTACCTTCTCCAAATATACATTTTAATAGAGAGGAATGAATACAAAGTGAAATGGATTTAAGAATGATGGTTGAGAACTTTTCTAAAGACAAGAAGTTGCATTTAGAAGTATCATGAAAAGCACTGTGAATTAAAACTTACTGCAGCACGTGAGGATAAAAGAGTTGGAAGTGATACAACCAACCCAAAAAGAAGAGAGTGTGGGGACTGAATGGAGAAGGAAATTAAATACAGCACCTGTGTGGTCTTTTTGAGAAAGACAGAACCAACTGAGCAAGATTTAACAGTTAGGTAGATTTTTTAAAATCATAACCACACAGTCTTATAAACTGCACAGTGCAAGCATGTATTTGTCAACAAAACATAGTGTAAGTTTATCCTGAAAGGTTATAGGATCATAGAATGGCTTGGGTTGGAACGGACTTCAAGGATCAAAGTTCCAACCCCCTACCACAGCACCTCAGCACCCTTTCAGAGAAAAATTTCCCCCTGACATGTAATCTGAATCTTTCCTCCTTTAGCTTAAAACCATTCCCCCTTGTCCTATCACTATCTACCCATGTAAAAAATGAATCGCATGGTACTATATGGTAAATGTATTCTAAAGGTAAAGGGATTGTATGGCAGCTCTGAGATTTAAAATTTTTCTACCTAAGCCATTTTTGATCAGTATTGTCACTCTGTTCTTCATTCACACATTCATACATATTCAAACACATTCATACATAGCTTCCTCTACCAGTTTCTTTTAAAAAGAATGTTCTTCCTAAAATAGTGGAAAAGCAGCTAGCCCTCACCTTTTTCCTTTTTGAAGAGAGAAGTGCCAACACCTTTTCTAATTTGTATTAAATCTCCAAAGCATCCCCAAAGATTACTTTTTCTTTTAAATGAAAGTAATGTTTCTCAACCGAAATTGGCCCCAGGACTGCTGAAAATGTTTTCACCGTAGAAAACAAAAGGGAGCAAGGTAACTGAAGTTAAGGCACATGCTATGTGCCAATGTCATCTCACTTTGAACTGCATGGTGTCTATACACAAAACCAAACAAAAGATCATGTGAAACATAAAAATGAAAACCGGATCTAAGTTAGTAATAACAACATAGGTAATAGGGACAAATTTAAAAGTGTTTTCACCTTTTTTTTTTTTTTTTTTTTTTGCTTCTCTTCTGCAGTAAAATGTGCATCATTTGCAATTAAAAAACAAAGCTCCCCAAGAGAAAACAGCTTATGCAAATAGATATTTTCTTTTTTTTTTTTAGAAAGAGTTCCTAGCTTTACATGCCACCTATTTTGCAATCCTAGCTAGTCCTAATCCTAGTCCTAGGATAGGTAGAGAACTAGCCCTGTCCTGTAGAGAACTAGTTCTGGTAAAGGCTAGCTCTGGCCTTTATTTCTAACATGAGAAACAGACCAAATACTGTGCACAGAATATGTTTGTAGTGCAGAACAGGGTCACAAGCAGGTGAAATTGCTTCTTTTAGTTTGATGAAGTACCACTTCAATTCAGTAGGACATACTGAGCCTATAAAATTAACAAAATTTGTCTCATAATTATTTAAGCTTTCTCTGTCTATCTAAAGAATCTAAATATTCTCATTCAGGTTTTTAAGAACATGCCTCATTCATTCTGATAATTCTAGCTACTTAAGCTGATGTAAGCTTTTAGTTTGGATAAGAGCTTTTGATCACATCAGATAATAAACCTGCCTCAATTTCATTCACAATCCTGTGTTTAGTTATAAAAATATAACACCATACAGGGAAACAGGGTAATTACTTACGAATCCACATGATTTTCAAAGGAAAGGAGGATTGGAAAGGGCGATGTCTTAAATGCACACTCAGCAATAGCTTCTATTACTTCCTAAAGAATCAAAATATACACAGTTACAAACTCATGTCTCTATAGAAACAGTATTTTGGTGTTTGAAAACAGATAAGACCCCATAGAAATCATATCCAAACTACCTAAAATCATACTCAGATCTTCTATCCTAAACATTCTTGAAAGCTATGCATGAGCTTTTTGCAGGAACCAATTTTTTCAGCCTGAACTGTAACCAGATCTCCAAAATGTTTGATGAATCTCCTGCATGATGTTTCTCCAGAGAAGACCTATGTCTGCCTAAATCAGAAGTTCAAACATCAAACTTGGTCTTTGCACAGTGCTGTTCCATGCCTGAAGCTATACTTTTCATGAATTATTTCGCATAACAATAAATACACTCGGACAAACTCATATCTTCTACAAAGTTATCTCATATCACACTCATATAATTGACACAAGCAGATACCTTTAAAATCCTTAGTGACTGACACAAGTTTTAGTTCTGTGTGATTTTTGATGAGAGAAACCCCTCCAGAGCAAAGGAAAGGAGAAAGTTACTCAATTATAGCAGCACAGTATTAATCACAAAGGGCTCAGAAATTTAAACTTATGTAGAAGTGTCATTTTGCCTTTGCTAGAAAGTAACAACTGTAAATATAGTAGCTTAATCATTTGGTGACACTAATTTTAGTGAGGTACATGATACAGCAATGCACTCAGCATTAGAAATGATTCACAATTTCCTATTGGAATATTGATCTTTTTTTTCACGAGAACTTATTGAGAACTGAAGATTTTACTGTTCTTGCTATCAACTTTTGAATTTTGAAAGATCTCATAAGCCTGTTCCACCCCAAATCATAATAGTGACTTAAAATTTTAAGATTTATTTATTTCAAACTATCACTCCATGGGGATTCCTTTTATTCACTTTCCGTACTTGAAAATGTTACATACAGTGTAAAAGAAATGCACTTCCTAACATGAAAGCAGACTTTCTGGTCCATTCCTTCTGATTTTGGGCTGAAAGTAATGCATACACCATCTCAAGATCTGCTGATATAAGCTATGCTATGTCCACAATTTACAGCCTTTACAAAAGGCATGAACTGTCACAGCATGTCTTACAAGATGAGAAAGTAGCTTCTTCAGCACACTCCAACAGGTGATGAATGACTCCATTTAATAAACTGCAACTATCCAATATATGAATGCCTCACATATCACTAACCATTCACATGCTTCAACTATATCTTTAAAGAAAGCAGAAAGGCAAAGTATTTACTGAGGGAACAGTAAATGGTGCAGAAGGCTGCATGAAAGCAGGAAGGAAGCTGCAGTTTCACAGTAGTGATTCTCCCATGGGCAAACAACATACAACAGAGTGACTCTTGCTGCACGCTCTTTCCAGCACCAGTAAATCACTGAATGCTGATGCCACCTTACACTGGTTATAATGTGGGACTCTCAAGACCATCTCTGGCAATTTTGCCATTGCAAGGGAACAGCAAGGCTAAGAACAGACTTACAAATATTAAGTCATCTCATCTAAATGCTTTCTACCACTGTTGGCTTGGTTTCCACCCACTTATATCCTACCCCCTTTGCGTACAGAGCATGACCCAGGGCTTAACAAGACCGGAGACTGGGTATGAAAGCACTGCTGAGAGCAGTCCTGAGGCTTTTCAGGCTCTTATGCACTGCTTTAGCTGTAAATAAATCCATGAAGACATTTTCAACTGCATTCTCAGCTGCAAAAAGGGATAAAATTCAGCATGTATGGAGAAGAATAACCTAAAAGAGTAAAAACCAGGATGACAATGATGAAATTTGAGGATAAAAACCTCAGATATTGGTTCTGTGGCATAACAGTGATTCAGTCTCACAATGCCTTCAAATGTAAATGCAAATTCTCTATGGTCAGAAAAAAACAACATGGTAAGTGCCACATTTTACTTCTGCTGCAGAATGACTCACCTGAAACAGGTCTCCAAGGTATTTACAAGTACACAGATTCCTGGTTATGGCATGAAAAATATTGGTTCCCTATAAGATCACATCCTTGCAGCAGCTCGCAGTCTGCTGCTGAGAAAAATCTTCTAAATGTCATGAAGCAAGGCAAAAAGCAAACAAACAGAAAAAAAAAATCCACTAAAACCTCAGAACAAAAACTCCAGCAACATAGGAATGGGCAGTATCTATTCCTTCTTTCTTTGCACTTCAGAAAGTCTATCTGAGGCAGTGAAAGGCAAGAGAGTGAATGTTTGAGACACTGTGTGCTGCGGTCACGCCAAAAGCATGAACTGACAAATGATTCAATATTCGAGACCCAGTAATCACTCTAAATTGATCCATGTACTTCTGACACATTATTTCACTATCATTTTGCTCCTCTTAATCCAAGCAGCGTATGTTGAGTGTTGAAAAGAAAAACAGCAGTCAATACATTTTTACAATTTCTGTGTGGAGAAAAATATTTGCCCTGAACTGACACACAAAATTAACTTGATTTGGTTTAAAACCCATTCCACGCTTCTCCTGCAAAAACAATGCTTAGAGGTGAACTTCTAAGCTACCAGGATGGCTGCTAGCAGGGCGATTCTCATTCCTACCAACCCTCCTTTTAAGAATCAGGTTTATTTTGTTTTAAATTCCACCTCATGGCCAAAAAAGTTGAGAGCTATCTACCCTAACTAAAGGACTTTCAGCAATCAAACTCTGTGCATAAAAACATAAATGGTTTTCATCAGTTTCATGAGAAAGTTAATACCGAAAGTGAAAGAAGGTTGCATTTCACATTTTCCTGTGATTAATTCAATCAGTGGAGAGTTAGAGAAAAGAAGCTGACAAAAAGTAAGGAATGTTCTGGTGTTGAGTGAAATTTGGTGTTTTGTCTGTGTAGTAGTACTGTTATTTTTTTCCTCAAGGAAGGAAATATAAGATAGAAGAAAAAACAACAGCAACTCATGCTTCAGATGTGGGACACATGCTTCAAATTTGTAATCTGTAGAAAAACCACATCTATCACCTGCAATATAACCAAATTCAGAAATGGACATTTTTCCACGTCTTCTTGCACACCGATAAGTCTAGAAATATATTTCCATAGTGAGTTAGTGTCTCAGATGAACAAGAATTACTTCTTCACTCTTCAAAAATGGTATCTCGAAGTATCATTACAACCTGTGCTGACTACCAATACTAATACTATGTTAAAATATCTCTATCTCATTGCTCTAACACTGCAGATCAAAAACATCTCTGACAGTAGCAACAAGGCAACAATTTAATGTTATTGCTAAGGTAGTGCTTTTACCTTTTACTATAGAAAAGGGAAATGGAAGATGAAATTCAGAAATACAGATGGTAAGTCCAAGGTTTGAAAGGCATTAATATCTCCACACATTCTCCAAAGCTACTAATTTTTCTCCTCTTGTACTTCAGATCTGATCCCCAGTATCAGGACAAGTGTAATCACCAAAAATCTCTTCCCCTGCAAGGTTCACCTCTTCCAATGATTCCACACATACTCTGAAATCTCCACTTAAAACATCTTTTTACTTGTAAATTTCTCCTCCCTTCTACCTTTGCACCAATGTTGTAGCAAGGAATTTGTCACGCATTTTACATGAAAAAAAAACTGCCCAAGTTGAAGCCAGCCACCCCAGCACACTGTACCTTGAATGATATTTCAGTTGTCATAGTGAACCCGTGTGTAATGACCGGCTCTTCTTCAGCTGTTCTCCCTTTCCAGCAGTCCAGCTCCACACAGCGGCAGCCTGACAGAAGCACTTGCCGATACATCTCCACCGAAGAATTCCCAGCCAGCTGTCCAGCTGAGACAACATAACAAGGGCATGAAAAAAGAGAGTCATTTTAGGCCTCAGGAATAAATACAAATAATCTAATGATAATTAGAGTTAACAGCATCTTCTACCCTCGGCTGACAGGAATAACACTCAAAGGCATACAAAATACATAATGATTTCATGGAAATGACTTAGGCAGAGTCAATGTCATGGTTTGCGTTCTGCCATAAGTTAAACCATTGTGAGTGAGGAGAAATCACTTTATCAAAGCCAATTCATAAAATTCTGTTAGACAGAATCAATATGAAATAACTTGCATCAGTTCTAAGGACTTTGTTACCCTATAACAAACAATGTGAAATTCAAAGACAACTCAGGACAGCAATTTTCAAATATTATGCAATGTTCACTGCCAGATAAAATCAACCTCCTGCACAATCACTAATGGTAGGTACCATTACCAGGTTTCAAATCTATATTTAACACTGTAACCACTGCATTGAATAGGTCAGTAACATTTCCTGATGTGACACTATATTAGGTAGGAATAAGTTTAAATAGACTACCAATTTCCTACAATGGCATAATATAAATCTAAAAGTAAACAAGGAAAACTTAGTTCTTCCCAAACTTTGGAAGTATTAAATACTGAACAAACAAGTCCATTGTTGTGTTCAGGGAAGGATCTACAGCCTCAGTGCTCTCTGCTTTTTCAAGAGCTTGGGCTCCAGTTGGATGGATACAAATTTCTTCAAGCACAGAGAGAAAGATAACGGAAGACCAAACTAGTGTTTGCTTTCTACGTTAAGAAAATAGATGCAGCTTCCTGCTTTCTAGCAAATGTGTCAAGGTTTTCATGGATCCTTTGGAGGGAATTCACTTGCATTCTAAGGAGGCAGTGAGTTCATTTATGCTGAAGATTCTTCGCTGATGAAAGTTACACAAAATGTTTTATCCAGACAAGCATATAATACAGTGCAGATTAATCCTGGTTTTATTGTCTCTTTGGCTCTATGTTTAGGTTTTATGCTGAGAACTATACGTTTCAGTTGGCTTCACCAACAGCACTGTCTGTTTTCCCTGTATTTTTATGTTCCACTATACATTCCACAGTAACAGAAAATCTATTCTTGGTAGAAAGTTCCCGTTTACTGTGTGTGTCTGATGCATGAACTGAAACAATCATAAACACTCAAAACATATTAACATTACTCCTATTGAAATCCCTAAAGTTTCTCAGCACCTACTGGAACCATCAGGAAATGCATGTCAATAACATAATTTGGCTAGTGTTGGAAGGTTCTGAAAACCTAAATGGAGTCAGCAAAGTGATGATGTGTCTTTTTTCCTTCACTTTCTTGTGTGCCACTCCTTTGATTATGCCAAGTTATCTTTACTCACACAATAACAGTCTTGGTGCTATCTCAGTATTTGTGGTAATCAGTGGCTCTTTGTCTTTACAGGGTACAAACAAGCAGTAGCACAGATCAGGGTACAACAGCACACATTTCCATGTGTTCATACCTAAGCAACTGACATTAAATGGGTCCTCTGAGCTCTGCTGCCTGAAAAAGCACATCCACTTAGAAATCTTGTTTTCATGTTCTCCTCCTTGGTCTCAAAACATTTTGATTTGCATTTTGATTAACAAATTATTTTATGATTAACAAACTACTATATCTGCTGAGAGATGACCGGTCATTATTGCTAAGCATTTTGGACTACAAGATCCATAACCTTCAAAAGCGCTTAAGTAAATCATGATGTGCATCATTTGCCATGTAACACTTTTCCACACTACCTCGTTAATAAGGCTCAACCCTTTTGGAAGGATTCCTGCTAAGGGCAAGGCGATGTTTAACCTCCAAAACATTCAATCTTAAGAAAGACTCCTAGTACAAGCACAAAATGATAGCAAGAGTTTCAATACTCTCAATAGCTTATTTTTCTAAATTTAGATTATTAGAGATGCTTGCTCAGTTTTTTTAACCTGTATTATTTATAAACTTCCATTGTGTCATCTGCATCTATTCCAAAGTGTGCTAACACAGACTAAGGGGAATAGCTGCAGAATGATATTTTTAATATCCTGAGTACAGATCAAATTTGTAATACTGGAAATTGAAAACATTAAGTATCCCCTTCTATAATACAAAAGAATCCACAATACCACCACAATATTTTTACCACCTCATTTCTCATGTAGAAACAGATTTTGACAAATATATATATTACATATATAATATGTTATAACATATTATAACATGGGGCCAAATCATACCTGACACAGAAAGGACGCTAAAGCTAATAAGCCTATACTCATATAAGACCCACATTTCTCCATACACACCAGTTCCATGCTTCCATAGCTGGAAGTGACTTGTTTCTCAGCAAATGCATCTTTGTTGGGATTATTCACTGCAGTTTTTCTAAGTGCAAGACACTAGCAATGCATGAACTTAAAATTTAATTATGATCTTCAGATGTTTATCTTCCCCAAAACTGGTCCCAGGTGTTTGTTGTCCCTTTATTACTCTTTAAACAGAAGCTGCTCCTGCCACCTTAATCACCTACTACAACATTTTCTCCCAGCATGAAAAAGCAGCTGCAAGTCCCTTTGCCCTACATAAACGTGATGCTAGATCTCATCTCTTCAGGGAAGTCCTGGAAAAGCAATCCCTGCTCTTGATCATACATTGTAGCTTTCAACATGCAAACTCAGACCCCTGTACTACTGGGAGTTGGCTTTTGACTCTATCAGTAACAGAAGGTGCTGTTTTTCAGGTTTTTCAGACACAGTACATTTATCTAAATTTATTCTCCTCTCAAGACATTTCACCACACACTGGACTGTTGAATTAAAACCCATGCATGGCAGTTCTGCTACTGCTAGTCTAAACAATGCTCTTGCCATACACCTGCTAATTTTAATGCTTTACACTGGACCAAAGTAGGATATGTGTCTGGCTTGGTCAAGCCAGCAGCAGGAATACACTTGTAGTAGCAATTCAGGTCCAGCACAGCGGAAGATGTAACTCTTGCATATGCCAGGATGCCTGGGGCTAGTCAGTCTGAGTCTGCATTTGTGCTTAGCAGTCAGTAGCACTTGGGCAGCTGTACTGCTGCAGCCAGGCTACATGACAGAACTGGCACTGGGCGTTATGGGCTCCCAGCAGTGGGACCTACTAGACCTTGAATTCTTGCAACCCTCCTGCTCACCCAGCTGAGTCTCTCCAACTGCACTGAGGGCGTGAGACCCACAGGGACCTACTAAAGGAGACTTTCCTCTGCTCTTCTCAACACACTCTTATCCTCCTTAAAGAGGGGGAAAAGAACAGTTCCCTTATTTCACTATCCTGCCACTGGTTGGCCTTAAAACACACCAAAAAAAGATAAAAAGAGAGATGATAAAAGGCATAGAAGATCCTGAAAACTGACAGAGCGGTAGAGAATGAAATACTGCTGACAGGTAACAAAACACTTTAATGATCTTTGTTTTTCTTGAGAATCCAAAGTCAGATCTCATCAAACAATTATTTTTTTTTAGTCTTTATGTTGACCTCTGTTGGTATTGGAAGCAAATTTCCTCTATGAATTTTGGTGCCAACTACTGATCATGACTGTAATGATTAGTTTTGCCTTAAGGATACAATCTATTCAATTTTTTCTCTCCTTTTTACATGGCTTCCACTCACTTTAAAAACTAGAAACTCTTATTTGGAATATAGCTTCAGAATGAGAGTTCAAGCTGGCATGGGTGAAACTGGTTAAGGGGAACATGTACCCCATAGGACAATAAAAAGGTAAACTGAGATTTAACAGGACAAGTACAAGCATCCAGCTGTCAAAACAGGAACAAACATACAAAAATTTTTTACACAGCAGGACATCCAACTTTTAATCAAAGGTCTGCCTGAATACTCATTTTCTCACAAAAGCCAGCTGTCTTAGAGGAAGATGCAAGAGAGTCTCAGACAGATAGGAATCACCAATTTACAGAAGCTGCCCAAGATCTGAGTGTTTGCCAAAAGTTGTATATATCTGTACACCGACAGTTTATTTAATCTTAATCCTCGCTAATCTGACTCCAGATGGTGAGACATCATATGCAAAACCATCAGTTTGTCCACGTAAAGTATAAAAACAATCTTCCTTATGATAATGTCTAATCATTCAAAACTGAAGTAGCTTTTCCTGCCTTATCTTTGAACTAGGAATGGATCAGTAGGATCCACCTCTCCTCCTGACCTGAACTCCTTTGCAGCCCGCCCTGCCTCTCAGGAGAGAGAGAGTCCTCTGCATAGGCGTGCAGGAATTTATTTTCAGAGTAGGGCACCAAACTGGTGCCTCAGCAAACTCCTAAGACCTTCAACAAATATCATCTTTCCTCTGTGAGGCAACAACAGCTTACTCTCCACCGATTTCTTTTTTAGTTAAAGTTAACTGCTAAGTTAATTTAATGGCTGAAGTAAACACTGTAGCTGTGGAAGCTGCTACCAAAAACATGCCACAGCAAGCAGACGGAGGTCTGCGGCTTCCCTCCTTTGAGGCAAAGTTGTCATGTTCAAATCAACCTCATCTCTAAAACTCAGCCCTTTTCCTCAGTGTTGCACAAACGTTCACAATATTCTGAAGGGGAATAATGAAACAACCCCTTGAGTTCTCCTACCCTCTAGTTCACCAGGAAGGACTTGGTGGGGCTGGCAGACACCAGAGACCTTGATCTTCTCAGCTGATCACCTGAGCTTAGAACAGCTTGAGGGGCATGAAGCAGCCAGTCAAAAACCGCTCTTGCTCTCAGAACAAGCTCATGCTCAGATTGAATACTGCCCATAATTCCTTCCTTTCCATATGCTGTTGTCATCTTGGAAAATGCAGAGATACTGTTTTGGAGACTTTTAAAATGACGAAGGCTTTAGAGAAGGGCTGACCGCAGATGACAGACAGCAGTTGTACTGAGGAATCACTAAGAACAGAAAAGCTGGAGGATGCTACAGGAGCGACCATAGAATCAATAAAGGAGAAGAGAACATGTTTCTCACAAGACCCTTTATAGAAATATCTGAAAGTACCGGACTGTAAGCAGGGAAGCAGATGTCTAGTGGTTGGTGACCCTGTACATAGCAGGGGGTTGAAACTAGATGACCATTATGGTCCTTTTCAACCCAGGCCATTCTATGATTCTATGCTCAGGGTGAGTGACATAGTCCCCTGCTGGCTACGTGCTCTGAAGTGATAGCTCCACAGTCTACTGCTGCTATTCTTTTTCTTCAAAGACAAAACATATATTATAGACTTGTAATTTTCATATTTAGCATGTCATATATGCAACAAGTTGCAAAGCCAATGTGTGCAATGTTAGCAATGACACATAACCATAATTTCTCTTAGACTTTGGGTGCTGCTGAGAGAAATGCTGCTATTTCACTCTCCACTGTGACAACCTGAGGCAAAGCAGGTGAGAAAACAGAAAAAAAAGCAGCTGCACTTTAAGAGCTCAGATGAGTAAACAAAACAAAACAAAAAAAATGTGACACCAGTGAGAGACAGGGAAAAAAGTTTCTAAAAGATATTCTTTTAATCTAGCCTAGGCTCACTGTAAATCCCTTCTTTATCAATGAGTTTTTACCTTAAAAATTACATTTCCCTAAGAAAAAGAAAGCACTAACACTTCTAAATAAATAATCAGGACTTGATGTACAGCCAAGGGTTTCTAGTAAAGGCTAGGAAAATGATCTCGGTAATTAAAAATAAATTCACATTGTGCACATGTTTCTTTTTATGTTATAATATTGTTTCTTCGTGTATTCTTTTTCTGGGTTTAAAAAACCAACAAAGGGAAAATAATTGGTAGAATATTAAGAACAGCAATAATAAAGTAAGGCTGGATGGAATGGTTTTCTTATTTTTCTAATAATTACTACAAGATTAGTTGCTATTTCACATCTCCTGTGAGGGCAGAGGTGTTACTGGAGCTTCGCTTCCAATGCCATAAGCACTTCAGCTGGCCCTTTGAAATCTTGGGATAAAGAATAGTTTGCGATCATTAATTTCACAGATTTCAGCTGAATTAAGTCCTTTCTGGAAGACTGAAAATGTAATGTCTATTGTTGTATTTGGTCTAGTCTCAATGCAAAATCTAAGGCTGTCAGTTTTTGTAATACATGGATAAAAATCGCATCATAAATCTCACTGTAAGCCAGCTGCCACACACTTATTGAACATAATGAACCCACTAAAAGGCAAGGGCATGTGTTTCGTGCTTCTAAATGTGAAAATACACACTCTTAACTGGAATTTGAAGGAGATTTGAACTTAGTTTGCTCCATCCCCTGAGTTTATTCTGATTTATTTCCCCCAGTTTACTAAGTCAGGAATTTTATGCTAATTTAAGACCGAGGATCATACTTCCAAATGGAATTTCTACAATTCATTGGACATGCAGGTGAAGAAATCTGCAGATGCAATTTTGAGACAACATGAAGACTTTCACATAAAAATCAAATGGAATTTGGACAATTTCAGGGTTCTAATTCACAGAATTTTATGATTCTAAGGTGAACTTTCTGCTATAATAACTATGTTAGGTCAGCCATGTTACAATTAAAAATTTAGAAAGGATTGGACTAATAACAAGTTTCCATCCTTAATTCTTTGTTCTTTGGCTTCCACACTTCTAGACTTTTAGGACATGACTGTCCTGATCAGCTCTGATATCTGTAGGATGGTACTGGCTATCAGTGGTACTGATGGTACCTAAAAATCTCAGCTCAGACATTAGATATGTAGTCAATGACCAGATTTCCAATCCTTGCAGATATGAACTGACTGTGAGAAAGCTACATGCCATGTTGGGACCTCTCCAATCTCTGAATCAAAGCAAATTTCACTGAACTCACAGAACTGTGAGATTTAATATTTAAGGCAAATTTATTAGCTACAGAGATGTTTCCTACTGATTTTGCATACCTGTTTGGCTATTCTTGGTAGGCACAGAAAGCACATTGCCTCTCCTTCTTAAATAAGAACCTGTTCTTGGAATCCTACCTAAGTAGAAGGAAACTTTCCAGGAACCTCATTAGCCTTCATCAGACATTATCTAAACAACACAACTGTTGCTCATCTGTTAATGAAGAAATATTTGATGTATGAGTTGGAGCAGCTAGAAAAACAAATTATAAGTGTTACCCTTGCTTCCTTGAAGACTAAGCAATGCATCACTTACCACTGTCACTTCTGGTATTCTTTATGGTATCAAGACAAATATACTATGAATCCTTGTAAGAGAAGAAATCAGATCTCTCGAACAATATACCTGTGAGGTAGGTGTTGTGTGAGGAATTGATGAAATAGTGTGACAGTGGTTGAGACATATCTTCATTTAAATCCAGTTTCTCAGGTGGAACAACGCCATTTTCTTCTCCGCTCAGATATCGCATAAATCCATCCACTGATATCTGTCCTGAGAGAAACAGAAAAGGGAAAGCACCCATTACTTTCAAGTATAAATTTTATGACATACAGATATTGTGGCAAAAATACACTTACATGATGATGTATGCAACAGACTGGTCTTTATCTAGTTATTAATTTATATTTTTTTCTTAAAATGATCTAATTTTCAGCCATATCAGTTACATACAATGTACATCGTACATCTCTTTACCTGTACAAAAGAAAGATCCTTTCATGACCAGTGACAATCAAATGCACAGGAAAATTAGAGTTACAAACTGCTACACAAACAGAGAAAATAAACCACGGTGTATGAGGGAAAAAGGTTGCTTTAAAAGCAAAGAAATCATCCCTGATGGAAGAAACCAAGAAACAAGCAAACAGAACCACTCAAAGAAAGAGGTTAACTTCAATCACTTTTGAATATGACTCAGTGTGTTGTATGATGGCTACTAAACTGCAAAACAAAGTTAACTAACTAAATGAACTACTTTTCAAGTGGGAACTAATCTTTTTAAAATAAATCTTCTACTATTGTAGTGTTAGTGCTGATTTATACATTTAGAGTAAAAAAAATCCAGTAGTCTATATATTAACATTAAACTGAACCAATCTGATATATTTTTCTTTACTTGATATTTCTGCAATTTTGTTTGGATTTCACATGCAGATTTACTTAGTTTTTAGCTTCAGTTAATTCAGTTACTTCCTACAGTAAAATAGAATTTCTGTAGCTGCTTCAAGATTCTCCAAAGATACATGACTGATAACTTCCAACAGTGACAATTTCTTACCTCTTGCCTCTACCCCAAAACAGTACAGCATAGTATCTCTACCCAAAAAAATCTTTAGAAAACTGATTGTGGCACTGAAAATGGAACAGTTCAGTTCCTAGCACAGTTATGTTACTCTCTCCTTCAGTGTCAACTCTGTTTTATCTGTAGAACAAATACACTTTTTTTTTTTTAATGTATGAAAAGCAATGGGTAATCTGGAATCATTTTTGTAAAGCTTGTAATCACATGATGCAAATATAGTACATAAAGCCTTTACTTGGAATCTGTACTGTACCCTGGGATTTGGCTCTTGATCAGAGAGGAAAAGATGCAACATTCTTAAGTTCAAATTAAGTTAATTTTCATAACAATCTAAGATGGTAGCATTAAAATGAACCTATTCATATGACAAGAAATGCAGTGATAATACCGAGCAATGCAATTACCATTCATTTTTATGAGAACAACTGTATGGAACAACTGGTTGGAAAGAAAAATATCAAGTCCACCCATGATTTTAAGACTGTAATCTGAGTGCAGTCTTGCCAGGCTCCACAGCTGGTTTGTTATAGAGAAATTAATCATCCACATACAGAGATCTATATACTTTAATTTTTACAAGAAAAAACATAATGGAGAAAAAATCAGAAAAAAAAAAAAATCCCTCCACTGAGGTTTTTAATGGAACAAAGATTTATGAACAACCAATCTGCTGCATGAGTCTACCAGAGAGACATTAAGAGTGTAAACAGTATCAACTGCCATCATGGAGTTAGCTTGAATTAAAATCCATTTAGCAGAAACACCGCACCAAGTTCACAGGGATTTAAATACTGTGTATTTTCACACCAAACAAGCAACATCCTACAGGAAAAAATGGGTAAGATCTGAATGGGATAGCTGCTATATTACAGTGATTTGCAACTTCTGATGTTTTACACAGCTCAAAGAGAGTCAACTTCAGTATCTCTATGTTGTTTTGAATATACCCCTTTTTGTCAAAGCAGGATGCTTAAAGTTGCTCTGTCATTCCTTTTCCAGGCCAAAATGAAACACAGTGGTTTTTGTACATATCATTCCTCCAAAAAACCCAACCCAGTGGCATCATAATCACACACTGTCAAGAAAGAAAAGCTTCTTTTCACTGTACAGAAGCTCAAGCTAGCTCCCATAGGTGGTGTTCAAACATCTCAAAGTGATCTCTGTTTTTAATACTCAAGAATATTCCTGAATAACTCATGTTCTTGCAGTCCATCCCTGTTTTACAAATAGAGAACTGAAGCTAAGGTTAATTAGTGGACAATATACCAAGGTAAACTTGTGGATTAAGTGAGGACTGCAAAATCTCTTCAAGTCTGTTTGGGTGCCTGCGGATTAAAAGGAAGCAAGGCTGAGGGCCTGCGTTTCCATTAGTATTAACATAAAGCACAGCAAAAACTATTCACAAGTATAATTACATACTTTCTGAGCAGCACAGTTATCTGAGCTTCCGGTGGTAGAATGTTATTTCCCGCGTCATAATTAAGCAGTACGCATTTCATAAAGTGATCCAATTTGCAAGTATCAAAGCCGATATTGCACCAGCGAGAGTTTGACTGTGAAACAGAGACGGCAGATGTCAAAGAGACTTTGTATCCTGGATATTAAAGAGTAGATTGCTTGTGACCAATGTCAATGATATTCTGAGGCCAACTACAGCGAGGATGATCCTCAGTGGAAAGTAATCAGAAATGAAATAGCCTCAATTTATTGGTATGATTTGTTCTTTGTTTTTGTAGGCATACTACGAATTTACCTCAGACAATAGCAAGAAAAAATAATCTGTGATCATTTCTTCCAATGATACCTGTCACCTCTTATCTTCAGATACATATTATGAAGATTTCATGGTATGATTAGATATAGAAAGTAAGTAAAGACACACAATAGGAAAAGACACATGAAAAAGACAGACTCATTCCTCTACTTTTCTTATTTTCACCACATATATAAATTGCCTTACAGTCATCTAAACACTAGGCCTTCAAAGCAACTTTTAAATATTTTGTGTGCTTTATAAATTTAAAATTGTGGAGTTAAACGGCTTGCCATTTTTTCTTTCAGTGATGCCTTTTAAATTTGGTCTGATGACACCAGAACAGAGGCAGACACTAGTACTGATATACTACTGCCCACTTCACCGGACAGTGGAACTGAGTGCACCCTCAAGTTCACTGAAGACACCAAGCTGAGAGGTGCACACACAAACACCCATGTATTTGCCACATGCACAAAGCTCCCCTTCATCGCCACACGCTTTACTTCAGATTCAGTAGCCTTGGGCAGCTGCCAGCTGCCCACCAGGCCTCTCCCTCATTCCCCTTCGCAAAAGGATGTCAAAGGGGACTGAAAATAAGATGATAAAGCTTGTGAGTGAAAACAAAGATAAGGGATAACTCACCAATTATTGCCACAGATAAAACTGATTCACCTTACGGGAGATTAACAGTATTTTAGGCAATTAAAACCAGAGTGGGATAATTAGAAGCAAAGATGAAAACTAAATCTCCTTCCCTCCACCTTCTTTTCCTAAGCTTGGCTTCATTTCCAAATCCTCTCTCACTCCCCCATCTGGGGAGGAGATTTCCACAGGGAATTGGGAATGGAGATGGCTCCATCCTAACATCTCCACTCCCTGCAGGTGGAAGATGTTCTTCTCTGGTGGAGGCTCTCAGGCGCAGCCAGGCAGCGCTTGCCCCGAGGCCTGCTGCCCTCCCCTCAGGGCTCACAGGGCTCCTTTTCACACTTTTCTCAACACATTCTTTGCAGATGTGCAGCATTTTGCCCTTAAACCTCCTTTCCCAGAGGTGCCGCAGGCATTGCTAAGCGGCTAAGCCCCACCTGCAGTCATTGGAACCTTCTAGAACATTCTGGAAACAGCCAGAATCAGCAGGAGGCTGCAGGGAGCAGCCCCAGCTCCCCTCAGAGGGGATCCCACAGCCAGGCTCCACTTCTTCTCACACAGCTGAACTGCCTTCACCTGTGCTGACCCAGTCCTTCACCTGTGCTGACCCAGTCCTTTCCCTAGGTGCTCAATCAGTGGTTCAGGCCGTGACTCAGCAGTTCCATACATATCTCAACGCTCATCTATAAATTATGTCAACTTTTACATAACTATAGAAATGAATCTGAGCAATAACATAAAAGCAAGAGAGGTGTTGGAAGCTCTGAAATTGTCTTTCCATCCCTCTCTTTACATTTAAGAGTTTTAATGCTTTCCAAAACCTCTTCCCCAAATGAGAAGGAAGCTGCTGAAGGAACAGGACCTTGACTCCTACTCTGTGTGGGTCCAGGGTTATTCCTGCTCTGCTTTTCTGCGTTGTGGATTTAAATACTGCTTGCACTCAGTTGCACATGCCACCACATCCTTATCCTTCCTCTACAGTCCCCTTCTTCCCTTCACTTTTAACATTTAGAAGCTGAACTTCATCTGCCATTCACTTGGCGTGAAGTTTGTCAGTGACTGACTTGCTAGCTGTCTTCAAACCTCATTCTCCAACACAGAAAAGGAGAGGAAGCCCATTCAGGGGACTTTAGGAATGCTCCCGTGCTCAGCATTTCACCTGCAACAAAGCATGAAGCAGCCTGTGAGCAAGATGTTCCACAACATGTCTTGAATAGCTCCAGACAACATGCTCAGCTGTGGAATCAATGCAGAGAAAAGTCACCAGATTCACAGTCAAGTGAAGTCAACTGAACTTGATATTTTTTTCAGGAAATTTTTGGTAGGAAAGAGAAGTGATTTGCTAGTGAAGGATGATATATTTAACTGGGCTGCTGACAGACACTTGAATTTTTCAGGCTGTGATCAGCTTCATTAAATGAAACATGTGAAATGCTTGTGCAGCAGCTTGATCTTTTTCTGCATCTCTGGCTCCATCTGATTGCTTCAAAACAGCGACAAGGGAGAAAAGACTATAAACATAGTGGAAAGCTCTGAGTATTCCACAAGACTTTATTAACAGCTACAACTTCATGATTGCATACTTTCCAGATCTTTTACACAGGATCGACGTAAATGCTCATGGATGTCAATTTAAAGAAAAAACACTTTAAAATATAGCTGTCATTTTGCCTGTAAGAAACAGGGCCTCCCTGGGGTCAACATTTGTCAGCTGTAAAAGACAGGAGAGTTCACTTCTGCCATCTCAAATACTTTTTTTTGGAAGCTGTCTTCAGGCAGAGGGCATAC